TATTCTACAACTTTCTGATTTTGATTTTATTCATGACAGATGGTAGATTTTGTTAGAGAAGGATTTCTTGGCAGCAGCCATGAATTTAGAAATCGGTAAAGACTTATTGCTTTTAGTTATTCCTAATTTCTTCCCCCCTAAGTGGTGTAACACATCCTTCTTTGACTATTATGTAGGTTTCAGAATCCTATAGAAAATGGTCAACACACCAATTCAACTGCTGAGGATGTGAAGATTATGAACCAAAGATCTCATATTCTCTATGAGCAATTAAAAGGATTTGTTCAGAGGATGGATATGAATGTAGTGAAGAAGGATTTGCCACCAAAAATTGTCTTTGTAATATCTGTTAAGCTTTCTCCTTTACAGAGACAATTATACAAAAGATTTCTTGATGTGCATGGTTTCACAAAGGATAAGGTTACTGGTGAGACGATAAGAAAGAGATCCTTTTTTGCAGGATACCAAGCCTTAGCTCAGGTACATTTTCTCATCTAATAATTCTTAATATTGTTGTATGAACCGAGTAAACACATTGCTTGGTTCCTATGTGGACAGCTTGGTAACATTGCAAAAGCCTGGCTTTGCATGTTTGAATTTGAGAATTGAAATAATCAAATCTCTCTACTGCTTTCAATTTACAGAATTGGTAAAATGAATGAAAAATATGTACTTGGGCCATGAAACTGCAGGCCAATAACTAAATCAAACTACACTATGAAACTAACTCTGGGAAGTAGGAAACTCACCATTTTAACTCACGCATATATGCATACAAGTGTGTGCATCTAATATGGTTAGGACTCAGCTGAAGTAATGGCTGGTTGTAGATATGGAACCATCCTGGGATATTGCAACTAATGAAAGAAAACAGAGGAACTACTAAGCGTGAAGATGCTGTTGAGAACTTTATTGTTGAGGATTGCTCAAGTGATGAAAACGCAGACAATAATGTGATTCCCTCAGGTGCTTTCCCTTTCTGTATCAAGTTAGTACTTTTTTTTTTTCTTTTTAAAAAAAAAAAAAAAAATTTAAATTTGTTTTCTTCTCAATAAAATATTAAATTTCGCATTTTGAGCAAACTAAAATGTTACATTTTTGTTAATATAAAATCACCATAACCAAGTGCATAACCATTGAGATTCATTGAGGGGAAACAGTTGACATTCTATGACAAGTTGCTCTTATTCGCATGTAAAATTTTCACAGAACTTGATGAGAAGAGCTTGTGAAAATATGGATTGCATGTACTCTTTAATCTGTATCCTACAAAGATTTGTTAGTTTTTAAGCATTGTCTTCATATTTGCCCTAGCTTTTGTTTGATGTCTACAGTTGTTCAGAAATGTTTCATATTTTTGCAGAGAAGCCAAATAACAATAGTGAATTGCCTCTCAGAAAAGATGCAAATGGCTTTCTTCATGGGGTGTGTATGAACTTACTGTCTCCAACTCCTTATTTGCAATTTTGCATGATTTGTATGTCTTCTGAACAACTTATTTTCAGTTCCTTTATTTTCTTTTCTAGATAAATGAGTCTTGTTCTTAATAACTTGTGCTGGAACCTGATATTCCCAGCCCTTCATGTACCAGCTCATGAGCCTAGATCCATGCGGACCATGCAAAATATAGATAATAGTGAAAAAAAAGGCATGGAAAAGTACATAAAGGAACAAGGACTTTTTTGTGAAAACCCAAAAGGAAAAAACCATAGGCCTTTTTGGGCCGTGTCAAGCCAAACTCCACTAACTTGTATTGTATTGATGATTACATGTACATGATCTTGAATTGAATTGAATTGAATGCCTTGTCTTGCCATTATAATGCATATTTATAGGTATGAAACCTAATTCCACTCTGTATGGGGAATAGAATCTTTACAGGATAGCTAATCTGAGATAATCAGGGCTCGTCTTGTAAAGATCTTCATGGGTTAGGATTCATATCACTTGGGTCTCCTTCCCCTAAAGACAAGAGCCTAGTTTAATAATTGCTCATCTACCAAGCCTTGTCAAACTTGGGCTGGGTCCTATGAATATTACACCGACAACTTGTCTTTTAATTTTTCTATTTTATGATTATTATTTCGTGTGGCTTTTGCTTTGGATGTTTTACCACGTCAATGGCTATTAATTTCTTCTTCTTCTTCTTCTTTTAATTTTCTTATTATGCAACTTACACTGTTCTTGCACACTCTTCTTTTGACAATTATAAACTAGTTCTGCACCCTTACTCTTATTTTTGTTTTTACTAGGACTGGTGGAGTGATCTTCTAAAGGAAAATAGTTACAAGGAGGTTGACTATAGTGGCAAAATGGTTCTGCTTCTTGAAATCCTGACAATGTGTGCTAATTTTGGTGATAAGGTACTGGTATTTAGCCAGAATTTGTCAACACTTGACCTCATTGAACTCTATCTTTCAAAATTGCCACGCCCAGGGAAAAAAGGAAAGTTTTGGAAGCAAGGGAAAGACTGGTTTAGGTGTGTATATCCATTTGAAGATCTCAAGAGTTCACGAGTTGGATATATTTTGTGTCAAATATCTTAGATTAAGTCTAAATTGGAGGTTATGTTTGTAATCTATAATTGCACATGCTTCTGCATGTCTGTTGTTATTCAAAAGTATCATTGCAGTTTTACAAATTACATTCCAGGTTCAACATCGTTGAACTTCTCTTGTTTTTATTTTTTTTTCGTGTACATGTCTGTTGTTTGTTCCATTGAGGCCAAGGGTGAATAGCTTTTGACCTTTTCCTTTGTTTTGTGGTGAGCAGGTTAGATGGAAGAACAGAATCTTCTCTAAGGCAGAAAATTGTTGAGAGGTTTAATGAGCCACATAATAGAAGGGTCAAATGTACTTTGATATCAACCAAAGCTGGATCTCTTGGAATCAACCTTCATGCAGCTAACCGAGTAATTATTGTGGATGGATCATGGAACCCAACTTATGATCTTCAAGCTATATATAGGAGTTGGAGGTGTGCTTTGGGTAGATTTTTGTGAGATTAAAGATACATATATGGCACACAAATATACAATGACATGATACTTTACTAATTGCAGGTATGGACAAACAAAACCTGTTTATGCTTATCGGCTACTGGCACATGCAACCATGGAGGAAAAAATATATAAGCGTCAGGTATTAAAGGTTTAAATTGCTAGCTGTATTTTACTTTTTTTTTTTTTTTTTTTTTTGGTTTATGTGAGATGGGATTGACTAAAACAGGTTACTAAGGAAGGCCTTGCTGCAAGGGTAGTTGATCGGCAGCAAGTACATCGAACCATATCAAGAGAAGAGATGCTGCATCTGTTTGAATTTGGAGATGATGAGGGTGCTGATGTGATTCCAGATTTGGGTGGAAGTTTGAGTGAACTAAATACTACTGACCATGTTGGTAGCTTTTTGAAACAGAAATTGCCTCTTCCAAATGGAGGTGTATCCTCTGACAAGTTCATGCAAACATTGATTGACAGGCATCATCCAAGGTTGGTTCTTATTCTCCTTCCTGTGTCCTCAATCCTTGAACGAATCAATAATATCTATAACTTGTGCAATGAGAATCTGCTTTGATTTGTGGGGAATTATGGTTATGTTTGGTAGAGCTTATAGCTTATTTTAAGTTACAAATAAGCTATAAGTTCTGTTTGGTAAAACATGAAGGGTTTAAAGTAATATGGAGTAGCTTATTTTGAAACGTTACCCAAATAACATTTCAAAATAAACTAGTAGCTACTAGCTTCTAAGCTTATAAGCTAGGTATGCCAAACAGAGCCTATGTAAGTATGAAATGTCTAATGAATTGTCTTATTTAGTTGGATTGCACATTACCATGAACACGAGACCCTCTTGCAAGAGAATGAGGAGGAGAAACTATCCAAAGAAGAACAAGAAATGGCTTGGGAAGTATATCGGAGAAGTCTTGAGTGGGAGGAGGTACGGCGAGTTTCACCTGATGAACCTACATTCGAGAGGCAACAACCTTCCCAGAATGGCTCTGCAACTGATAGGAAGCCCGCAATCTCCAACAAACCACCCCCTGTGCGTGAGAACAGGCTAACCATTAAGCTCGCACAGATTGTTGAGACTGCAAGAAACCATGCAATGGCTCGAAAATGTACAAACCTAGCACACATGCTTACGCTCAGAAGTCAGGGTGTCAAAACGGGTTGCAGTACTGTGTGTGGACAGTGTGCTCAGGAGATAAGCTGGGACAAGCTTAGACCTTAGCAGCGACGGCAAGGCGATGAAGTGGCCGCTCATCTTTTGTTTACAGCATAGTGATTCATTAATATTTAAAGGGGCGATATAATTTGATTAATTTTGTTTCATGCTCAGACATTACTGTTATCTTTTTGTTAGGCAAATCTATAACCTATAGATGCCTTTAAGCCTGCAGAAAGTAGGCAGCAGCCCAGCCCCATGTAAAGTTTTAAAATACTGATCTGTTTTATCTATATACAGGTGAAATGAAAAATGCCCTTTTTTTTTTGCTCTCAATGACAAATATTCATTCACTCTTCATATCAAGACATTACTATTCCAAACTAATATAGCCTTTGAGTGCAGCTATCATTTTCCTACATGGAAGATAAGCAACCAACTCTTATTGAGTTGATTTGGTAATCTTCAGATTCTAAATTTGATGCTTAGGTGAGAGTAATTTATTGGTTTTTTTTTTTTTTTTTTTTTTTTTTTTTTTAAAGTTAGTTAACTATGAGCATATGAACAGTTTATGTTCAACCTTCAGTTTGCTTATTTTGTTGTGATCTTTTGTAGCTAAAGTCTGTAAGCATTACAATTTCTCAATGAATGTCGTTAAATTCAAATTGAGTATGAAGGTAAGATATTTTTATTAATAATTCTCTTCTCCAATTTTTTTTCTGTCTCAAAATTTCTTCGTTTGAAACTTTGAGTACAAAATAAGTATTAAGAAAAAAAAAAACAACTGAGGGGGTCTCTGTTGTTTCAAATGCCAAAAGCAACAAAAACAAAGAAAAATTAATCAGAACTTTTGTCTGACTTCTTCTTTTTGGTTTTGGGGGGATTATTATTAGCTCCGCAGACAATGGTGAACTGAAATCCATAGACGAAGCACGAATACATGCCATTGTCTGGTTTCCGCCGCCCGGCGTTCTTCGGAATCATCTCCATCTCCTCCTCATTTTCATCGTCCTCCGCCGCCTCACGCCGCCTCTTCGCCTCTTCCGGCGTCAAATTCGCCGGCAGTACCATGCTATCCCCGACTCCCCTTTCCATTATCTCCTTCCTCGGCGCCGCTGACGCCTGCCAACTCTGAGCTATCTCCGCCGCCACAACGGAGGCCGACGGTCCCACGTCGGAGCAAACTTCCGAGCCGTAGTTCACCATCGATCCGCCATTCACCATCGATCCGCCGTTCACCATTGAGCCGTTGCAGATGGAGCCAGGCTTCCCGGGAAACTCTTCGCCGTTGACATCAGACATCATGTCTGGGGTCATGGATCGCCGCCATTGCAGGATTTTTGCGTGAAGCCGTTCTCGCTCTTCGTCTTCTGAGTTGTGATATTCTAGAATATTCCTCTTTTCAAGTTCTAGATCCTTCTTGTAACCCGACGCCGTGGACATCAGATCGCTTAGCGGCATGCTTCGCGAGGTACCGGTGTTCTCCTGCAGCGTGGCGGACATATTGAGCAGTCCCTGAGGAGAACCCGAAGGACGGCGAATCTGGAGGGCCACCTCTCTCGTTCCCTTCTCCGACGGCGAGATGAGATTGCTAACATTCACCGAAACGGTTCCGACGAGAACGTCGCGGAACCACGAAACCGTGTAGATCTCGACGGTGACGGTAGATTTCTCGGAGGCGAGGAACTCATCGTCAACCTTGAAGGAAAACTTGTCGTTCCAGGTAGGATTCGCGTTGCCGTTCTGATCGATGCAGGTTGTCCGTTTCCGATTCGGATTGGTCCAGACGAGGGCGTAGGTGCGGAGGGACTTTGAGACGGGAGGCAGATCCTGGGCGGAGATGAGGGTGATCTCTAAGATGTGGTAGCCGACCGGAGGGCGGGAGAGGCATGAGACGTCGGAAACAGTGATTACGGAGTTCGCCGCGGTGGCGTCGTTGTAGTGATCCATTCTTTCACCGTCCAGTCCGCGGCGGAGATGATCTACCGTTCCGGCTAAACCAATGGCACCATGAAGCTGCTGCAGGGCCGGGGAAGGGGAAGATATTGCGCTGCTTTCACAAAGGTTAGTTACGCCTTAAAATTTTCAACCGCTACTTCACTAACGGTCTATATTTAAGAGACTTTTTTTTTTTTTTTTTTTTTTTTGAAAAGAGTTTTTCTTATTTATCATGGTGGGAATTGGGAAATCCGGAAATACATTGAAATAATATTTTGCATGCAGAATATATCGAAAACAATTTCAGTATTATATATGCATAAATGATAATTAATTACACATGAAATTAATTGATATTTTTTTTTATAAGAGTGGCAACCAATTAATAAAGAGTATTCTCTTGACACTTATTCTTAATAAAAATAAGATGGAAAGGGACAAAACATACAAATATATGGCAAAATCGTCAATAAATCGCATCAACTTTAATTATAATACAATAATGATTAAATAATAGAATGTTCGTTAAACTCAATCACATAATTTTTGAATGCTATTGACTCTATTATAATGTAATACTCCGTATCTGTTAATACATATTTTTTAAAGTCTTAATAGCTATGCTGCTCGATCACAATGTCTTTAGCAACCAATAAACAATTTAATATATAACAAAACAATGATATTTGATAGCTAGCTACAAACTAAAATTCATTATCCTAACACTCTAATAGTACCAACTTTTTGTTTTTTCTTTATCTAGATGATTAACGATCTTGAGACAGCCTTGGCCTGCAAGTCCAAACGAATTGATCGAAGAAAAGAAATCCATCACCAATCTGCATGCACCAAATCAAAACAATCAATTTTGCAACTATTTATGCGACGAAATCCAGCATTTTGTACGTGTAAATTAACATTGCCCGGGTTTTTTATGTTGGAAAAAAATTAACAAAATAGCATTGTAAGTGACTATTCTGTAGTACAAATATATGTGAGGTCCAATATGAATTTGGTTCAGGTCAAAGTGGATTGTACATAAAAATTTTAAATAAGTTTTATCCTGTTATATTTGAAGGCAACAATAAGAGTAATAATAACATATATACTAGTATAAACGTACACGTTTAATACTATGATAGTACACAATTTCAATATGCATGATAATATAATAAAGAAAAAAATACCAAATAATTTGACTTACCGTCATATTTCTTGCCCCGTGAAGCCAATATTGCTCCCACAATAACACTAGCAACTATGCCTCCCACTGCAATTGCCACCAACCTACCGTTCGAGCTTCCAGATCCTTCATTATCATATCCAATCCATCAACAATTTTTCATAATTATTTTATAATAAAAATAATCTTCAATTACATCAATCCATGCACTATTATTATCTTTCAAAATTAAAAATTATAATGACAATATGGAATTGAATTTAAAGAAAATAAAAACATATTAAGTAAAATTACCATGATCATATTTGTAGCTGACAAAGCACCGGTCCATATATATTTCCCCAGAAGCCGAGTAGCCACATTCATCCAGAGCCATTTGAGCCGCCATGTTCACGCATTCGCCGCACTCACAGTGTCCCAAGTTCCCGGCGCACTGAGCCACGCCGTGCATCGACTCATACCTCAGCTTACAAAATCCACGTTCCAATTCCTCCCTATTCTCAATCTCACCGTTCATCACACATCTCTCCAGCTCAGCCAACACCTGGTACCGCAACTGCCGGCTCCGCTCGTCGGCTCTCTTTTGGCTGCACGCGCTGTGCAGCAGCTGGAACGGAGCGCTGGTCTGATCGGCTCCCATCAGCTCCTCGGCTTCGTAGTGAAGGTAGCACCCCGAGAGCTGAACCCTGGCGGGAACGGTCTGGCCGCAGAAAGCGGCGGAGAATCCGGGGAGCTGGTTGACGCAGGCGTGGCAGTCGCGGTTGCTGATGTCGCGCCGGCACTGGAACCTCCCGGAGATGGCGGTTGTGTCGTCGCCGACGTAGGTGTGGAAGAAGCTGGTCTCCGAAGACTTGTCGACGAGCTCCTGGAAGAGAGACGACAGGAGCGGCGACGGTAACAATGGCGGCGATGCGGCGGAGCTTGTCTGGTTGGGACACCGTGTGAAAACTAGCGAGTAGTTGTTGGTTTCAGCAAATATGAATCCAAACCATAGAGAAACGTTAAGGAGGAGATAATAATTACACAAATATGGATATGATGATGATAATGAACATCCCATTGTACCAGCAGTGGGGATAGAGATCGATCAACTGAATTTGTGTGAAGTGCATATATATATATATATATATATATATATATATATATATATATATATATATATATATATATTATTTTCGAATACTGTGTAATGTATTTATGCATATCTAATGATGTATGCGCGGTATATATATATATATATAATAGAGTTCCAGTGAGATCTAACATATTCAATCTATTTTATTCTTTATATAGGATAAAATTTATATCTAAAAATTTACCCCACGAACCAAATATACTGTCATTCCTATATCTAACTGAACTACTGTAACCCGGTCATCAGGTAAAATTGACTGAGTTCTAACGTGTTCTACAAAAAGGTATAATCGGGAAGGTTGCAAGAATTTGGAAGTTAAGAACGGAGGATAGATTATTTTCATACCTAACTCTAACTAACTTAGGAATAGTAGGGGCAGAAATGGACTAATTTAAATGAAAAAATATATATACCTTAGTTAATAACGTGTGTAGAAAAGTTGGGAAAGCTGAAAACCAAAAGTTTTTGGCTCAACGTTATTCGCAATATGTGTTAGTTTGAATTGAAACTTAAGTTTTTGTTAGGTTTGACCAACGAATACGTACTTATGTCTATCTATAATAAGTTTAGCCTTCTGGAAATAATTAACAATGTGTGAATACAAAACATAATTCAGAATTTTTATGTATTAAATTTAAAATTGGTTACAACGAGTGTTCATACGTGAGTACAAAATCCATGGACAATCATCTTATTTTTCAACGAACACTCCACAACTTTCGGAACTCAAGTGGATCGGATAATCATCTTATTTTTAACACTCCACAACCATTGGAATTCAAGTGACAAAGAAGAGATTATATGGCTTGTTCTTCAAAGAAGAGGTTATATGGATTGTTCTTTATTGAGGGGCCTCTGAATTAGACTCAAATGGCTTGATCTTCAGTAGAAGGGATAGACTTTTTCAGAGTGGTGTCGTCTTTTTAGAGAGTTCCTTTTCATAGTTGTAGGATATGAAAAATTTTGATATACACTTATCAAATATAGAAAGTATTCAAAATGCCCCAGGATCATTTAGTCTCAAGTCATGGCGGGAGGCAGCAGGATGAGGTTCGAACCCCACCTCAAACATCATTGGAGTAATGGAGTTGGGCTTCATAGGGTGGAGTAAAGTGTGGATTAGCTAGGCTCTTGCTCTTCATAGGATGGAGTAAAGTGTGGATTTTTTGCTTGTGCACATAGTACAATAAGGTGAATTATTGACTGAAAGGACTCAGATTTACATCATCTAATGACTCTTGAATCAAGAAACTATAAGTTAGAATTTAGTTTGATGAAATCTATGTATTAAAAGAACAAGAAGCCAAGGATATGATCTTGTGATGGCACCAAGTTGCTCCTATGTGGGATGAGGTTGTGGGTTTGAGCCCGCGATATTGACTCTTTAATTTGTGCTTGGGTTTGAGCCTCAGTGGAGGCGATATTGACTTTTTGTGCTTTAATTGGTTGAGAAAATAATTATGAACAGATACATGAATAGATATTGCATTGTATTCAAAATATTTATTGTCTTATTTGCAAGGTACCCCTTCATGACAACATTTCGTCCACCTAATTTCATCTTTTGTTCTTTTCTTGGAGTATCCCCTTCAATTCCCTTTGAAAAGTAGTTTAAAGTAATTTTCAATTTAATCTATCATATATAGTTATTTGTCATTTTCACCCTCTTGGATGCATCCCTCTCAATTAATATTTACTTCGTAAAAGGTCTTTTTCAATTTAGTCTTTTGTAAATAATTTTTTGCAATTTCATACATCATTTTATTGAGTACATTATTTTAGGTTTCAATTTGGTGTTTTCTTTGTCCTTAGTATTTGGTTCTAAAATTTAAATTAGGTTTCAATTTGGTATTGAATGTTTTCTTTTCTCCTTTGTGAATAATTTAAAACTAAAAGTAAAGAATTATATTAAATTTACCAAAGTTTAAGTAAATGGACTAAATTGTACATAGTCATATAATAAAATAATTTCTCAATATTTTGAATGATTATTTATATTTTGTATTATATTTATATTTCTCAAAAAAATGGCTTCAATTCTTTGTTTAACAATAAAGAGAACTTGACATTTTACATATATACATATTATTGAAACATGGTATCCCGAAGCGTGGAGCTTAGGTCATGGACAAGCTAAGCTCAACGCATATACAAGGGATATAATAGCTTGTGTTGGTAACTTGGTATTGTGTATCTTACAATTATCTAATCATTTTACCTTCTTCATCCAAAATAAATAAATAGAGCGATAAACAAAATAAATAAATAAATACTCACACAAAAGAGTAGTTGTGTTCAATTGTATAATCATTTTTCATAACTGAAATATGAGTTGTTGACAAAATAAATTATAAAAACCAACTCCTACTGTCCTATTTGTAAATGCACAATGAAACCTACTCCTACTGTCCTACATACGAATAACGTACTAAAGCTTGCTGTTAATTAATGATCCGTTTGGAAAGCAATAAAATAATTTCTGAAAAATATTTTTTAGAAAATGATTAACTTTTTGGAAAATATTTTTCGTTACATTGTTTGGTTGCATTTAGGAAAATATAAGAATGGATGGAAATTGAGGAATCGAAGATAATGACGGCAGCGAAGGCAACCGTGTTTTGAGTGTGTGGCGGAAAATGACTTACGTCAAAATTTGGCACAAGTCATTTTCCGCAAAAATGCCTACATTTTTCCCAGTCAACGGAAATGTTTTTCGCTGACTGAATTTTTCTACTACATCCAAACACTAAAAACTTGAAAAAACATTTTTCATAAGTCATTTTTCGAGTTTTCAAACTGACCCTAAAGTACAAATATAATTTAATTTGGTAACCGTCATGTCATTTAATTATCAATCAACATGTCACTTTATGTTCAATTGCTTGAATTTGTGTTGTTCATTAACTTAATTATAACTTTTTTTTTTTTAAATGGATATCCTAATTTCAATTTGATGCATAATTTGATGACTTATTTGATTCTTATTCCTACAAATTAAGTTTGGATATGTATAGAGTAGCTGTATGTGACTATGAGAGAACAGGTGCAGGTTTTGAAATGATCCACCTACCTCATATAGTCATGTGCTACTTCTGATATTTCTCTTATTATTATTATTATTATTATTATTATTATTATTATTATTATTATTATTATTATTATTATTATTATTATTATTTAAATACTTATTTATTATTTATTTATTAGGCTAATATTTTTTTCTTCATTTTTTTTTTGTGTTTAATAAAATTTTAATACACATTATTATTTTTAGATGTATAAATGTCATATATACTATTAAATTAGATAATATAAAAATAGAGAATTTTATAATGTGAAATTGTACCCAGCACACTGGATAGTGTTGAATGCTTAGTGCTAGTGTTAATAATAAAAATATTGTCATTTTTAATCTATCAATGGTTATCAACTATTAATTTTATCACATTTAATGCACGAATATACTTGTGTTGCTACATTTACATATGTTGACCAAATCTTTGATAGCTACTCACAAAAAAATGCAATTGTCTCTCCTTTAGAGTTGCTACAAGGAAAAAAATAATTTATCCAAATATAAACACACAATACTATTACTAAAATGTGTTCTTGTAACAATCTCAATTTAAAAAATACATTTCTCAACAAATGATTGTTGAGGTTTGACTAATATGACCAAATGTAATAACAAAAACATACTTATGCATTAATTATAATACAATTAATAATTGAGGGATCAAAAATAATAACAGCTCATTAATAATATTAGATGTAATCAGACATATCGTCAGGTCGGGATGTAAGGGTCATTGGAGTTAGTTATTATGGCCATATTTGGTAAATGGCTGTTAGCTAATTGAGTTAATTAGAAGATATAAGTATTGATAATATTAACTGATTGTAGAAAGGTGGTTGGTAAATTAGTTGTTAGATAATAGCCGTTTGGTATAATTTCTTTTCTCAAAAAGCTAATTGAAAAAGTTACTTTGAATAACTTTTTGAATTTTAGTATTTTAGAGTACAAAAAGCTAATTACTAAACATTTATATTAATTTTTAAACTAACTAAAACAACTAATAGTAGTCAAATAAATTAAAATTGACGCTGTAAGGAAATCATAAAAAATAATTAAAATGAGCTAAAACAAATTTGGAGTAAAAAAGCTAATTAACTAAACATTTATACAAATTTATATTTTAAAAAAATCATAAAAAATAATTAAAAATGAGGTGAGTAAGCTTGACAAAGGGTGAGTAATTAATACTTTGAGCTAAAACTGAACACGTGGAGCCTATGTGGTAACCCCCTACCTGGTATCTACGTCAGCATTTTATCCACATTGTAACTTGTAAGTCATTATCTAAATTCCAAAAAAAAAAAAAGAAAATTAAAAAAGGGAATTTCGTTATATTAATTAAGGGAGACCTTCCACCCCTTCAAGAAAACTTCAGCCACTTCAACTGTTCAGTTAAAAGTCGTAATTACCCCTACATGCAGGGAAAAAACCAAGGCTAATTACGCCATTCCAGTTAACAAATACCAGAATCGACTGAATTTTTAATTTTTTTTTTTTTTTTGTCCATATATTCCAATTTTTCAGATCCAAACAAAATAATAATATTTATGTGACAAAAAAATAAGTTTGAATTATTGGTTTAATAATCACAAAATTTAAAATTTAACTTGTAATAAAAGTTATTTATTAGTTTTTTTTTTTTTTATTTTAAACTTGTTAATTATAGACAATTTTAATTTATCTTTATAGATTTTTATCAATTAAGATTATAAGATAGAATTTATCATGCACATTTTTAAATAGTTAATGACGATTTTACTTTGGCATGATAGTGCATAGATTATGTTAAAAATGAACAGTTCTTTTGTTTATATCTGCTGAGTCATTAAGTCACATAATTTACATAATCTCAAATATTATGTTGAGTCAGAGAGGAGTCATTAGAGTTGGGGATTCGATCTTTTGGGAGAAGAAACTAATGAAGATTTTCACACAATAATAAATAATAAATATAAAAAACAAAGAAAATTAATAGATATAGATGAGCCACCTCTCCATCTTCCTCTTCTTCGCCTAGCTTCCCCCTTCACAGTCACTATATCTTACGGAGACCTCAGATTTTGTTCGCAGATTTGCAGAATTTTTGTGACTCTAAGTTGTTGAGGTAGACGAAGGAAGAAGGAAGGCAGGCAAGTTTATCTTTCTCGAATTTGGTACTATGCGTTTCAATTCGATTCTCCGTGTGTGTAATATAGGTGGACACGCGCGGCTTAGTATGTAGAGGCGCGTTGATGTGTTCGTAGAAGAACGGATTGAATGGATTTACTGCTGTTTCATGTGAATGATACGGATAAGTTGGGGTTGTGTGGATCTGATTCGGATGGTTTTGGTGTTCAATGAGGATTGACTGTTGAGCTTCCGAGTGTGTTTTTGTATTGGCAGGATTTATATATATTTTAGTGAGAGAGAGAGAGAGAGGGAGAGGGAGAGGATTGTTGTCTTGTTGAGGTGAGACTTGGAGTGATGTTGATGGTATCTGGAAATGGAGACGCTGCGGATTCGTTTCGGAATTCAATGGAAGTGGTCAGGGGTGTGTTATCCCCGATAGAGTCCAGTATAAAGAAAGTGGCGAAGGATTTAGAGCACTACTGGCCTGGTTCTCAGGTTGTGGTGGTTGATTCTAGTGATGACAGCAAAAGCTCAGAGCTAAATGTGAATAGAAAGAGTGTGGTTACTGATGTGGAAAAGACGAGTTTCGCTGTGAAGGTACCGAGTAAGAAGTTTGTAGGGTTTTTCGGGAGCAGTTGGCAGAGCGATAGAGATGAGATTGGGGCTAGGAAAGGGTTGAAAGAGAAATATGGGGGAGGAGATGTTGGGAAGAGCAATGGGAATTGTTTTGACTGTTTACATTTTGCTCTGGCTTGGTCACTCATGATGAATAATTTTGCTCAGGCTCTTCCTGGCACATTTAAGGTTGGGACAAAGTGGGTTCACAAGACGAGTAATGGGGATGCTGTTCCCAATGAGACTGCTATGAAGCCAAGGGTTTTAGGTGAATTTAAGAAAAAGGAATCAAATGGCCGAGTATCTTGTTGTGAAAGGTTGAATCATGAAGAAGGGAATAATGTATCACTTGAGGGATTTGTAGGGTTTATGTTTGATCAGCTAGCTCAGAATCTTCAAAAGCTTGACTCACATTTTCATGAGAAGGAATCCAAGCTTGCTGACTTAGAGCCAGTTCCTCCACCCACCAATCAGTTTGATCATTTGAAGGTGCTTATTAGTGTGTTTGAGGGGAAAAGAGCTGATTTCAATGGCTTTTTGGGGAACTTGAATTTTGCAAGAGTGGGAGGTATGCCGCCAAGTATTGTTGGAATCTCTTCTCCGGTGAGTGATGAGAGAGATGATGCAGTCAATGGTGATGGTCCTCGCATAGAAAGTGCAGGCAGTTCACCGCAAAAATTGGCCAATGGGTTGCTCAGCATTCCCTTGTCAAATGTTGAAAGGTTGAGGTCAACTTTGTCATCTGTTTCATTGACAGAACTAGTTGAGCTCTTACCTCAGCTAGGTCGACCTTCACAAGATCATCCCGATAAGAAGAAACTATTTTCTGTCCAGGACTTTTTCAGATACACGGAAGCTGAAGGTATGCCTTTATTCTGTATTTGTTCAATGCAAGTGACATGCTTTGTCCATTTGCCTAGGTTTAACTAAAATGTTAAGTATGATTGCTTGCTTTATTAGCCATTGTGTTTACATGATACACTTTATTTATTGATCAGTCACCAAATACATATGGTGTATGGTGGATGTTGGGCTTCATAGCATGTGTATGTAGCATTTTGTGAGTTTTAGTCATTGGGCTTTCTAAGGCTTACAAGTATGTATTATGGAGTAACAAGTATTGAATCTGATATCTATGTTAGTCAATAATAGATGTTGGAACTCTTACTCTTCCACTCTTTATTATACGGAGTAACTGCTTACTAGGAATAGGAGATACTATTATGTTTTCCATCATTTATTTTTCTGTTATGGGTTAAAATTCAAATTAATTCTCCATGTTGAAATATAGTACAAATTAATGAAGTTTAAGTCTTATTTCTTCCTTTTAATTCCTTGTTAATTTATCTTCTCTAGGACTATTGTTTTACTGCAAATTGTATAAGAAAACTGCACTGAAATTGTGTACTATAGTCTATAGATGGGTTTACTTTCGGAACATAACATTAGTTGCTGCTTGGTAGTAAGTGCTACCATGGAAGCAAAGTGAAAATGAAACTTTTTGCTACTACCATTCAAGTAAGGTCTGGTATTAACCTCAGATTATCCTCACGGGATGGATTTACTTTCAGAACATACTTTAGCTTCTGCTTTGTAGTTAGACAACTATGGAAGGAAAGTGAAAATGCAACTTTTTGTCATTAAAGTTCAAATATGGTCTGGTATTAACTCTGTAGATTAATATTCTCATTCTTGTAGTAGCATGCCCAATACAGTCCTCCCCCATCTGATGAAAGGAAAATTCTAGACAGTTAGATATGCTTTAGATTTCAGAAAACTTACCTGCCTAAATTTGGTTATGAACTACATGAAGGGGAGTCTAATCTTATTAGTTCCTAACAAATACTCCGTATCAAATTTCGCTTGGTGGTTGTTAGTGTTCCACTGTTCCTAGATGTACATGTAACTCTGTCACTAGCTTTATTATTTTTTTCATATATGCACGTACATTCAATTTAATAGGAATATATGTATCTGACTTGTCTGCTCTTTCTTGACACTTTTATCAAGTCAGTCAGAATTAATGTATTTCAATCCTGTAGGAAGGAGGTTCTTCGAGGAGTTGGATGGTGATGGGGATGGCCAAGTCACCTTGGAAGATCTTGAAGTTGCTATGAGAAAGAGAAAGCTACCAAAACGATATGCTCATGAATTCATGCGTCGTACAAGAAGTCACTTGTTTAAAAAATCTTTTGGTTGGAAACAGTTTTTATCTTTAATGGAACAGAAGGAACCAACTATTCTACGGGCTTATACTAGTCTTTGCTTGAGCAAGTCCGGGACTCTGCAGAAAAGTGAGATCTTAGCATCATTGAAAAATGCAGGGCTTCCAGCAAATGAAGACAATGCTGTTGCGATGATGCGCTTTCTAAATGCAGATACCGAGGAATCCATCTCTTATGGGCATTTCCGGAATTTTATGCTTTTACTGCCCTCAGACAGATTACAAGAAGATCCTCGGTAAAATTCTAGTTCCATTTGTCTCATATATGAATTTTCAGAAACAAGGTTTTTTTTCCCTCAAAATGCCAGTACTCTAGTATTATAATTTATAAGCTATTTGATTGTTAGACATGATGCATTTATAAAGATGGGGCTTCTAGTTTGCAACATTCTCTCCCCTTGCATTCACATGTATTATTTTTCTTTATGGCATCTCTCTATTGCAGCATCTACTTTCTTAATTTTGCAGCTTCTTCAACTATCTCTTTTGCAGTATTCTTATCATATTAAACACAGAAGCTTTCAATTATGAAAAGTGATTCATCAAAATGGTAGGGTAGAAAATAGCCAATCAGAAGAAAGAAGACATTAATTTAAAAAAAAAAAAAAACGAAGTTTTGGTGGAACATAATTGTAGCTTTTTCTGTGTTTATTTTTGGTTGGATGTTCTTTGATTTCAAAGTTGTTTTTGAGTATATATTGTTTTGCCAACTTTGCAAAGTCTCTGCTACAAAGCAGTGTTTTGTTTTGTGTTGTTTTATTATTCAATTTTGTATTTCTAAAGTGGAGCGCACATGACTATATGGATTTGTAGTAATATTCCTTTGACCTGAAAGGAATGAAATGCAACCAACTGTTTGCACATGGAAACTGGAACTTGTGGAATTTGGTTGCATTGTCATGGTTGATATATAATTGGCAATTTTAAGTTTCAACTGGCTGGTGCTCATTTAATATGATGTAGAACTGAAAGTGAAATGTGTTTTATTTCTTCTTATAAAGCTTCTTAGACCGTTACTTTTACTTATTAAAAATAAAACACTGTAGGAGTATCTGGTTTGAGGCGGCAACTGTAGTTGCTGTTGCACCACCTGTTGAGATTCCAGCTGGAAGTGTTCTAAAATCTGCTTTGGCAGGAGGCCTTGCTTGTGCATTGTCTACATCATTGATGCACCCTATTGATACAATCAAGGTACACTTTCCTCAAGAAATCAGGACTTGAATTTTCTCGAAATTGTTCATATGTGGGCTTGGCACTCACAGCATAACTACCCTGTATAATTTTATGGGAAAATGTACAATCTTTAGTGATAAAGAGGGCATCTCTCTATTTCTATGCCCCAACTTGAAGAATTTTACAATGCATCCTTTTGGGTTTGAGGCCTTGTGAATGCCTTTCCAGTTATCTCTTACTCTTTTTTCTTGTTTCCTTTATCAATTCCAAACAATTTTTTCCTCTTTTGATGCATCTGCTTACTTTTCCAATACACAATTAATATATTCTAGCTGTCAAAACCCATAACTATATTCCATTGTAGTCTGCAAATATACTTCTCTTATTTAAGCTTATCACTAAAACAGTTATGTATTCTTTGAATTAGACATGATTTTATGTTGGCTAGGACCTAAACTTAAGCGTTCAGGTCAAGAAGCCTTTTTTTTTTTTTTTTTGGATATCATAATGCTAAGTTTGGTTTAAGAAATACTTAAGCTCTTTGACTTTTCTGTACTCATAATTCACATATATCTCCATTATCCAATAGTTTTGTGATGTGGAAAGAATAATTTTTCTAAAGTCCATATACAATGAACTCTATTCAAGTCTGGATCAATCTGTGGTGGATGACTTTCCCTGGACATAGGTTTCATGACATTTAATGAAATTAGAATATGATAAGCAAGATTAATCAATAATTTGTGTTATAAGCGACAGTGCATGTGTTCCATTAGCCATGCATCTTCCTGATCCTGTTTTTAACTTGGTTATCAGACAACTTTACAAGCATCTAGCCTTAGTTTTCCCCAAATCATGGCAAAGCTCCCAGAAATTGGAGTGCGGGGATTGTATAGAGGGTCTATTCCTGCAATTGTTGGACAATTTTCAAGGTTAGCCATGATGATTTTTATTTTTATTTTTTATTTTTTATTTTTTTTGTATTTTTGGGTGCTACACTATATGTACAGCTGCTTTTATAATACATGCATGTATAGTATAGTTAATGTTGCCTTTAATTGCAGCCATGGATTGCGGACCGGAATTTTTGAAGCAAGTAAACTTGTTTTGATAAACTTTGCTCCCACGCTTCCAGAACTACAGGTGAGGGATATAACAAGGCATTTCTTTTTTATTGGCTTGCTTTTCTGTTTTGTTTCTACCCTTGAATACTTTCTACATTGCTGTTGAACTTGCTTTTATTGTTGCAGAGTGCTACAAAAAATGAGTTTCACACTAGCCTTAAGAAATTTGAATTTTTTTTTCTTTTGATCCGTTTCTTCTTATATATATATATATATATATATATATATATATATATATATTGGTATGTTCATAGTTTTGCATTGTCATTTATTTGATGTTACTTCTGTAATTGAAATGTTGAATTGAATCTAAGTAATCAAAGATTTCCTCCCTGCCAAATAGTGAACAATAATAATAATAATAATAATAATAATAATTATTATTATTATAATGATTATAACAGTAGTTCTGTCATTTTGGAGGTTTTAAGTTCTCATTATCTGAGGTATTAAAAACCCTGCTGCTTCTTGTCCACACTGCTCAGGTTCAATCAATAGCATCATTTTGCAGCACTGTCCTGGGGACAGCAGTGCGTATACCATGCGAAGTGTTAAAGCAGAGATTACAGGCTGGTCTGTTTGACAATGTAGGGCAAGCAATTTTAGGTACTTGGCAGCAAGATGGTCTTAAAGGCTTCTTTCGTGGGACCGGTGCCACTCTCTGCCGTGAGGTTCCATTTTATGTTGCAGGCATGGCCCTTTATGCAAAATCAAAGAAGGTTCGTTTTGTTTTCTCTAGAAGTTGATCACCTTTTAGATTTTGCATATTTTGCTAATTTGGTGCCCTGGGGTAAACAGTAAACTGTTCCTCCAACCGTTGCTTTTGTATGGGATATCTTTTGAAGTGCTTTAGATCCTCCTTATTGCCTTTTTTTCCCCTTCAAGTCTATGTGTTGAAATTTTGGTGCATTCTACACCATCTTTGATTCTTTTCGTGTGAACGCCTTTGGCCAATGCTCATCTTTTTGTGTGGACACCTTTGGGAGTACCATCCTTATTGCACACCACTTCTTACTTCAAATGCATGCTGTGGGACATTCTTACGCCCTATATAGCACTATAGCACCTTTGCTAGAGAACATTTTGCCTTCTTTCATTTATGAACATATTATTGGTTAAGAAATATTGTTGAATGACTCTGTATTATGTGGTGACTTCTTTTATGCTCTGATAATATCAGGTTGCCCAGCAGCTATTAGAGAGAGAGCTGGAACCATGGGAAACAATCGCTGTTGGGGCTTTATCCGGTGGTCTATCTGCTGTTGTGACAACACCGTTTGATGTAATTAAGACCAGAATGATGACTGCTCCCCAAGGCAGGCCTGTCACATTGACGGTGTTAGCATTCTCTATAATTCGTCACGAAGGACCCATGGGATTGTTAAAGGGTGCCTTGCCCAGGTTCTTCTGGATTGCTCCCCTTGGTGCAATGAACTTCGCTGGTTACGAGCTTGCCAAAAAGGCTATGGACAAAAGCGAGGAAACAAGTGAGCAAGTATCTGTTAAAAAGTAGGCTGATGATGATGATTGAGGCTCGAGGCATTTGCAAGTGAAACTATCAGTAACTATAAATGCATTATCGGAGATTTTGCTTTAATGCTCAAAAGCTGCTTAAAAGTTTTGAATATTTGTTTAAAACAGCGAGTGAGGTGATTTTATGCATCATAGTTAATGTGTCCAGAGAAAAAACAAAATCTTTGATTCTCTGGTAAAAGTTGCAATCTTTTGGTGCATACTTTTATTGGAGAAAAATTGTAAATTGAGCGCAGGCAGGGAGCCGTGGGAATCCCACTTAACTTTTAACGCTGTAACTTATTGTACATTTATGTGCAGTCTACTAATGCTTTGAACTTGTTATTCTTTGCTCATAAGCTTAACTTCTATATTGCGGTGAACTAGTGTTTGTTATATAGCATGTCTTAGACCTAACTTCATAATAATAATGTACGCTGTTTCATTGGTTCCCTTCTGAGTTCTGACTCTTTTAATGTTCAACTGATTTGGAACTATTTGGTATGGCAAGTTATACCATGGATTAAGATTTATCTTGCATTATAAATCTTAATCCAAAAACGATATTTAGATTGTATATGCAGTTAACATATTATGTGTTTGCAGTTAACAGATTATCTTACAATTATGTTTAAATATATGTTAACTATTAAACATATTACTGTAGACTATAATCAACAATGAAAGTAGACCTCTACCCTAGTCCATGATATAAAAATTGATTTGGTGTATATATATATATATATATATATATATATATATATATATATATATATGAGGCCACCTCTAGTGTGAAAATTTTGAGTCTTTATTTTTCTTTTATTTAACATCAGAAAACTTACCTACATTCATTCATTCAGGTTGTGTAGTCAGAAAAAATTTTCTATTATTTGCAATTAAGTAAAATAATCAAATATTTTTATTATTAACTTTGTAATAATTAACATTGTTATTATTTGGCTTTCAAATAAGAATGGAATTTTCATGTGACGCCAACGAGTAAATTTCTTCACTTTATGAATAGGTGATCCATGTGGCAGGATAGAGTTAACTGGCGAAAATATTTGTGTAGTACAAGATCAGTATTAACAGAAAGCTAAAGATGATGATAATAGTGCCCCAATCCGGATGTGGAAGGAAAGAGTTTGTTCATTCTAGACTTGAGAGTTTCTCTTTAATCAACAGTGTTTGAGCATTTCATCAAGGAACTGGATTAAGAAAATTGGGTACGAAGATGTTGAAAGCTTAATTTAGAAGTTTAATCATTTAGGAAGGTAACAATGGAGAATAATATACCTAAGGGCTTTAAAGAGGAACAGATCCATAAAAGACCACTTCTGCAGGGCCAGTCATATATACATGGTTGTCATCCTTGTTCCACTCGATCTCAAGCGGCCCACCGGGTAAATCAACGGTGCAGCTCTGTTTCAAGGAAGATTTGTCAATGATGAGAAAACTGAGCTACCAATACATCCATAACAGTATGACTGACAAAGTTTCCCTTCTTTTCTTCTCTCATTACAGTCGTGTTTGTCTCATACTTTATTGCGTTAAGAATGCAAACACTTTTCTACTCCAAGTAAGATATTAGATATAGCACATGAAAACCTGATTTTGTTTTCTTTATTCTGTACGTGGAAATACTCGACTACTCTAGAACTTACCCTCCCAGCACGACCCTCGAGCACTGCAGCAACAACTACTGCACAAGCTCCTGTCCCACAGGCCAGTGTTGCGCCTGCATTCACCACAAATGTTAGATAAACAATAGATGTGTAAAGGGAACATCTCTTGCAAAATCATCAAGTGTTTCGATTGACCAAAATAAACATAGTTTAGGTAACCCTACCTGCACCACGCTCCCAAACACGCATTTTAAGGTGTGAAGAAGACAACACTTGCACGAATTCTGCAGATCCAACAATATGTTGCAGTGATCAACAAAATTCATTCCCAATACAAAGTTGTCAATTAGCTACAATTTAGAGTAAGACACATGCTACCAATTTCTACAGTGAGACAGTGGGATCTAGCTATGAACTTGTTACTCATCACACTCTGATGTTATAAGAACAAGTTGGGACTAACTAGAACATCCCTAAGATACAAGTACACAACAGATTAAAGTGTTGCACTTAGGGCTAAACTTACCAGTGTTAGTTCGTGCAGGGAACATAATGTGATTTTCAAACTTCGGACCAATTTCCGCTAAGTTTATCTCATCCACTAGCAAATCCTGTTGTAGCAGGCAGAATAATAGGACAATGTTAGCTAATTCCATACACATCAATTACAATAAGCGGATAGATGTATGATAGCCCATTTTATATGCAGGAGTAAATACACCAGTACAGGGCATAAAATAAGCAAGCTTGATTTTCTCAAAAAGAGAAACAGTACTTAATTAATTCAAGCCATTTTAATTGGAAAACCAAATAATCTCTAATTAATATCTCCTCTGTTATTAGAAAATAAAGCTCATGTCCTATAAGAGACTACTTGTCACAAGGTTGAGGTACAAACAGCAACTTATATGATATAATCTACTTAGAAGAAGTATTAAAATAATAGTTTCAAAATTAGGGCCAGATAGCACTCCTCTCAGAAAACACAAGCATCGATGCAAGAAGTATACCTTGCTTCCTGTACCAAACGTGACACAATGAGGATTTCCCATGCTAACACATGTTACATTCCAAGTGGTTCCATCTACATCCAGTCCTCCTTTGACAACAGATTGATCTCTATTTGCAGGTAATTTTGTGGGAACATCTGATGCCTTCAGAACTGGTTCGCCCATATCAACCTTAACCTGGAATTTGAAATGAATTAATATCTAATTTTGAAGGAAGAAAGATAGCAAATATCATTTTGATGCACAACTTTTCAATTAAAAAAAAGGACAACTTCCATGCCAAATATAGAGCCCATGGAACACTATATGTCAAGACATTCAATAGAGAGTGTATGTCTTTGGAGAGAGATATCACCTGTCCATTTTCTTGTATCTCAGGAACAATTAAGCCAGCCCCAGTATGTATGGTGAAACTACAGGAATCAAAATTCACCCAATTGTGAATAATAGGGAAATGTTATCTGTTTGTTTTAGTTAAACACCATAATTCATGTACAGTGATGAAAGAATCACAGAGTATTACTTTTTATTTGTATTTGGGCAAGTCTTTTACAATATCCAAGATTTGAAAGTAATTATTACTTCAAAGAACTAAAGCCAAGTAGTATCCAACAATGTCCTTAGAAGTGTAAAATGAAGGATAGCATAAAAAGAAGCATAATATGAAAGCAGACCTTTGCTTGCCATGTAAATTCTCAAGCTCGCCTATAAATTTGGCAAAGCATCGAATTCCATTGCCACACATCTGCATATAAAAGGACCTCTCTGTCACAGATTATAAATGTGTAAGCAGTTCAAAAAGATAGTTCTAGTTTTGCACCTTGAAAAAGAATATTAAACCATTGTGATATTTTGCATGCACAATTAAACATTTGCAAGTAACTCAACTTCTAAGGTGGTGAACTGCTACCTAGAAATAAATATCCTCATTTAAGGATGAAAAAATCACCTCAGGCTCACTACCATCAGAATTGAAGATCCTCATGGTATAATCAGTGCCATTGGTACCAGGCATTGCAAAAATCACTCCATCAGCACCGATGCCAAAATTTCTATCACACAATTTCACTGCCTGCTCAGGTGTGATTTTAGGTTCTGTTGAATCTCTATTGTCAACCTGAAAACAAAAGGAACAAATAATCACTGAGCTTTAAACAAATCTGTGATAATAATCAGTAATTATTTTCCACCTTGCTAACCGTGAAATGGCATGCTTTAGGAATGGTACATATGAAGCTCACATATCAAGTCCTTTTTCCATTGGTGGATGACCGAATTAAAAAATTTTCACCAATAATTAAGTAGCTAGTTAACATAATTGTATGCATTTTGAGGCCACTATTTCCAGAAATAACTCAAAATTTTATTTGTAATATCCACTAACATAAAAATTCAGCATTATCCTATCTACGATTTAAATCCTCTAAACATTCTAAAATAAAAGAAAATTGATAGAAGAAGTTAGCACACAGATTGACAGAAATTCCTATGACCGTATGTATACGTGTGCACAAATACATACATACATAATGCGTCTATATATTACCAATATGAAGTCGTTGCCTAGGCCATGGTACTTGACGAAGTGGAGATATCCACTTTCCTTGTGATCGAGAAATGAAGCTGGAGAAGCTTTCTCGGTAGCTTCAGAGCTCATTGACAAAGCAGCCGAAATGCAGAAAGTAGGGCGCCGGAAGGGGGGACAAGCAGGGATTTGGAGAGCGCGTCGTTGCAGAGATAAAGGCGAAGGAGAAGAAAATCTGAACGGAGCGGTTAAGGAAGAAGACAGAGATCGGCGACTGGAGGCCGTAAGCGGAAGCGTTATGGCGGCGGTTATCGACATGGAAGAAGACGGCGAGAGAGAGAGAGAGCGTCAAACTGAGACTTGTTAGAGCTGACGAGGGAGTGAAATGCAATTAGCCTAGGTTTTGGGACTCATCATGGATTTATTGTTTTGTAATTTTGGCGAACCTCAAGGTTTTTAAGCTAATTAAAATATTTCAACCAAACTTTGGTTTCAAGGTTTTTGAGACGGGTGAATAACGTAAATTGTAAAATGTAATAGTCGTTAAATTTATATTTTCTCCTGTGATATTTGATTACTAATAATTTATTTTAAGTTAATTGATTTTTTTTTTTGAATGTTACTAGCTCTATTACATTGTAGCATCTGTTCACGACCTTCTAAATAGAAGTCCAACCCGGATACCATTGGACCACATAATCCTGGTTTTAAGTTAATTGATTAGTTGAGTTATCTCCCAAGAGTTCTCAATTTAACTTCACTTGTTTGTTATTTTTTTTTAATGATTTATCAATGTCCTCTCTTTTATTTTTTTGAAACTATGTTTGCTAATTATTTATCAAATTATAAATGTATTCTACAATCTAATTTAATAGAGCTACTCGGTTCTAGTTGGAGGTATGATTTTATAAAGGCATTTCTATATTTTTAATTTTTTTTAAAAAAAATTTCCCCTTTAATGCTAATCCTCATTTTTATACTAACTTGGCCGCAACTCCTCTAACATTTGTCACCAAGTTTTAAAGGAAAATACTACATGTACTCAATTTTCTTACTTCAAACTTCTACTACCTCCCACAAATCTTTGGTGTAGACATTTTTTCTGTGACTCAGATGATGAAAATATCTTATCGTTGTTTGTCACATTATGGAGTAAAAGGAGTAAAAGACATTTTTGGTCCTAGACTTATAGTGGCTTGGACAATTTTAGTCCTTTATAAAAAAAATTTGTCATTTTATGGACAGAGTTATTGTGGCGAGGACATTTTTGGTCATCCGTCTATATTTCGAGGACATTTTTGGTCCTCCGTCTATATTTCTGTTAGATAACCGTATGAGAGGGGGGCAATTACGTCAATTTAGGCTATCTCCTTCTATCTATTATATCAATGTGTGTTTGGCGGCTTCGATTCTCCTTCTATCTATTTGATTTGTTACCTGTTTGGCGGCTTCAATTCTCCGGCAATTTCTTCGTACAACTGCAACTTGGACTCTCCGACTCCTTCGAATTATGACCGAGAAGAAAACAAAACACACATAGATATAATAGATAGAAGGAGATAGCCTAATTTGACGTAATTACCCCTCTCTCAGACAGTTATCTAACAGAAATATAGACGGAGGACCAAAAATGTCCTCGCCACAATAACTCTGTTCATAAAATGGTAAATTTTTGTATAAATGACTAAAATTGTCCAAGCCACTATAAATTTAGGACTAAAAATGTCTTTTACTCGGAGTAAAAGTGAAGAAGTATAATTTTGGAGGATAGTACTCAGTTTTAAAATTAGCATTCTTGCATGCTATTGGTATTATATTGTATATTAGATTGAGATATTAGCTAGGTTGTAGAGGTAGGGAAAAAAAGTGTATACTAGATTAAGATATTACGAAAATGACCTCATAAAACTTACTCCCAAACAAAACTAAATAGATGATAGACTATATTTACAACATGACAAATAATTAAATAATTATATTTTAAAATTTTGTAAGTGAATGAAAATATTTATAAATTGAAAATATATAATTAAATATGTGAATTTTCCTCCATTAAATGTAGTTAATCAATGATATACCACTAAGACCTTGTATAGTTGTATGTTAACTCTCAAGCACCCCATAAATGGGATAGAATTCTTTAGAAAATAAGATTGACTCTCTCTCTCTCTCTCCTAAGACCATTCTTTACTTCAAAATTCCTCATCTTCAACATATAAGTTTAGTCCTCATAAACATACTTAGCACAATATACATACATTAAAGAACACTCTACAAAGCCATGAGCTATAAAGCCACGAGAATGTGGATAAAATGTTGTGAAATTCTACTAACTTAATTAGAGATATTGAGTTAAATTCATGATGGGGTGTTTTGCCACTATTTAAGGCCCTATTCAACACAAATATGATTGATTTGCAGGGAGGCATTTTCATAGATAAAAAATTGTGGTCTCACAACTATTCTGATGGAATTTGATTGCGCTAAAGCAATCTAGCTCGACTCTGACTCACAGGGCTATGGATCATTCCTAGTACTGGTTCTATCATCGATCAATGTTATAATATTATGTCAAATTTTAATTTTGTTTATTGTTACACATTAAAAGATCAGCCAACTTGATTGCCCATACATCAGCTAGGGTATCATAATCTTAATATGATTCTCACTCTCACTCCTCCTAATTGTATTCTCTCCTCTCTTTTTTTTTCCTATTACCAATTAGTGCTCTATAAAGTTTTTGGTTTCAAAAAAAAAAAAAAAAAAAAAGAGGACTTCTAAAATATCAAGTTCATGTAAATAACTCCAACTTTCTTAAATTTAAGGGTTCGTTTGGAAACCCAAAATTTTTAAAATTTTCACTGTTTGGATACTCAAGGAAAAATGAAGTCAAAGGAAAATATTCATTATGGTCAACATAAAAAATGTCCAATTTGTTGGAAAATGTCTTCTTAGTTTTTTTAGGAGTAAATACCCAAAATGGTCCCTCGACTATAGCTAAATTCACAAATTGGTCATTGACTTTCAATTTCAACCAATTAAGTCCTTAACTTTGTAATTTTAACACGATTTGGTCCTCCGTCGATTTGACCGTTTGTTGACCATGATCTATGATGATATTTATGTAATTTCATCTGCAAAGCTCAAGAGAACGCTGCGCTCTTGGAGGTGACTGCGTCGTTTCGGAAGGGGAAGTGATTCTCCGCTTGCTGCTTGGGGATCACGAGCCGGTTCAGCTTGCTGACGTCGCTTGGAGTCACGGCTTTCTCGTAGAGCCGCTCCAGGGATTTCGTCGATCTGTCTATCAAAATCTATAATCTCTCCGGCATGGGGTGCAGCGCCGGCCTAATCTCGATCGATCTCGCACGTGACCTCCTGTGTGCACCCCAACTCTAACGCCATGGATTCAAATGTAACAGTGCGGTCTGGAAATGTAATCGGAACCTTAAAAAACCGACGATGGACCATGAAATTACATATTACATATATATCCTCAAAAATCATAGTAACAAACGGTCAAATAGATGGAGGACCAAATCGTGTTAAAATTGCAAAGTTAAGGACTTAATTGGTTGAAATTGAAAGTCGAGGACCAATTTGTGAATTTAGCTATAGTCGAGTGACCATTTTGCGTATTTAGTCTTTTTTTAGTCACATGATCCGGGTTCTTTATTTTTCATCTCTCTTCCATCTCTTCTTTTTTAAAGTTAGTTTACATATTATTATTATTATTATTATTATTATTATTATTATTATTATTATTATTATTATTATTATTATTATTATTATTATTATTATTATTATTATTATTATTATTATTATTATTATTATTATTATTATTATTATTATTATTATTATTATTATTATTATTATTATTATTATTATTATTATTATTTATTATTATTATTATTATTATTATTATTATTATTATTATTTTTTTTTTTATTATTATTATTATTATTATTATTATTATTATTATTATTATTATTATTATTATTATTATTATTATTATTATTTATTATTATTATTATTATTATTATTATTATTATTATTATTATTATTATTATTATTATTATTATTATTATTATTATTATTATTATTATTATTATTATTATTATTATTATTATTATTATTATTATTATTTATTATTATTATTATTATTATTATTTTATTATTATTATTATTATTATTATTATTATTATTATTATTATTATTATTATTATTATTATTATTATTATTATTATTATTATTATTATTATTATTATTATTATTATTATTATTATTATTATTATTATTATTATTATTATTATTATTATTAATTATTATTATTATTATTATTATTATTATTATTATTATTATTATTATTATTATTATTATTATTATTATTATTATTATTATTATTATTATTATTATTATTATTATTATTATTATTATTATTATTATTATTATTATTATTATTATTATTATTATTATTATTATTATTATTATTATTATTATTATTATTATTATTATTATTATTATTATTATTATTATTATTATTATTATTATTATTATTATTATTATTATTATTATTATTATTATTATTATTATTATTATTATTATTATTTATATTATTATTTATTATTATTATTATATTATTATTATTATTATTATTATTATTATTATTATTATTATTATTATTATTATTATTATTATTATTATTATTATTATTATTATTATTATTATTATTATTATTATTATTATTATTATTATTATTATTATTATTATTATTATTATTATTATTATTATTATTATTATTATTATTATTATTATTATTATTATTATTATTATTATTATTATTATTATTATTATTATTATTATTATTATTATTATTATTATTATTATTATTATTATTATTATTATTATTATTATTATTATTATTATTATTATTATTATTATTATTATTATTATTATTATTATTATTATTATTATTATTATTATTATTATTATTATTATTATTATTATTATTATTATTATTATTATTATTATTATTATTATTATTATTATTATTATTATTATTATTATTATTTTTTTTTTATTATTATTATTATTATTATTATTATTATTATTATTATTATTATTATTATTATTATTATTATTATTATTATTATTATTATTATTATTATTATTATATTATTATTATTATTATTATTATTATTATTATTATTATTATTATTATTATTATTATTATTATTATTATTATTATTTATTATTATTATTATTATTATTATTATTATTATTATTATTATTATTATTATTATTATTATTATTATTATTATTATTATTATTATTATTATTATTATTATTATTATTATTATTATTATTATTATTATTATTATTATTATTATTATTATTATTATTATTATTATTATTATTATTATTATTATTATTATTATTATTATTATTATTATTATTATTATTATTATTATTATTATTATTATTATTATTATTATTATTATTATTATTATTATTATTATTATTATTATTATTATTATTATTATTATTATTATTATTATTATTATTATTATTATTATTATTATTATTATTATTATTATTATTATTATTATTATTATTATTATTATTATTATTATTATTATTATTATTATTTTATTATTATTATTATTATTATTATTTTTTTTTTTTTTATTTTTTTTTTTTTTTATTATTATTATTATTATTATTTTTATTATTATTATTTTATTATTATTATTATTATTATTATTATTATTATTATTATTATTTTATTATTATTATTATTATTATTATTATTATTTATTATTATTATTATTATTATTATTATTATTATTATTATTATTATTATTATTATTATTATTATTATTATTATTATTATTATTATTATTATTATTATTATTATTATTATTATTATTATTATTATTATTATTATTATTATTATTATTATTATTATTATTATTATTATTATTATTATTATTATTATTATTATTATTATTATTATTATTATTATTATTATTATTACTACTACTACTACTACTACCACCACGGCACCACCACAATCACCATCATCACCAACACCACCACACCACAACACAACCAAAACATCACCACCACCAATACCACCGCCACCATTACCACACGACCACCACCAGTCCACCACAACCACAACCACCACACCACCACCACCATCACCATATTATTATTATTATTATTATTATTATTATTATTATTATTATTATTATTATTACAAATAATTAATATGTTCATTTTCAAGAAAATGAACCAAACAGAAAAAAATATAATTTTTTAACTTTCAGTCAAACAAAAAAGATAGTTTTGTGACATTCAGCTAAACACCATAAAATTAAAATATTTTTAAAAAATTTGTCAGTTTTTAAAAAACAATTTTCACATTTTCAAACGTACCGAATGAAAAGTCTTCAAAACCGCAAGACATATATACTTAAATATTAAGTTTGATGTTACTTTCATAATTAATGTTGTGGTATTGTGTATGTGTGTGTGTGTATCTCTCTTAAACTAACACAAATAAAATTTATTTGTTTTTATTTTGTTATAAAAGTTAATGTTAAAAAAATTCAAAAAAATAATTCTCCTTAGCCAAAACCTCTTCCATCATACTTAAAGATTCTAAGTTCGTTCTTGCTTACCATTTTCTCTACAAATAATTTTATTAGAGAATACAATGGGTGCAACCATATCGAGAATCGTGCAACACACAATGAAAGAGCAAAATCATGCTTAACAACTATTATATTATATTCCAATAAGATTAAAAACAATTTAAAAGAAAAACTATATTGAGCTCAATAATATAATTATATTGGCTTAATTAAGTAATGCGTCGTCATTACAATTACAATTTCAAATACATAAATAACAACAAATTACAATCAATTAACGTACAATAAAATAAATTAAGGTTCCACACTACACAAATAAATTTCTTATGTTAAAGAATGGACTCAAGGTCAAGCCGAAAGATTAGGAAATTAAAGGTGGAAGATAAACGACTCAATTCAAAATATTAGGTTATAAATTTTGACAAAACAAATGTTCATTGTATTTGACGTTAAAATACCTATAGTCTTATACATTGAACTCACATTGGCCTCAATCGAGCCAACCCCAATATAGGGGGCAAATTATTATGTAAACTCAGTTCAAAAATACACAATTTACCTACTAAATGTTTAAAGTTTACCTTTTAAAAATTTATGATGACTTTGTATTATATTCACAAATACTTAAAACATAGAAACACAATTTATAATTTAAATTCTCAAAAAAAAAAATAATTTATATTTTAAATGTTCACATTTCTAATACTAAAAATACACAATTTAATACTAGGATCCGCCTAAAAATGAACATACAATACATTTTTAAAAAAACTTTTAGTATATTAAAATAAGTATTTATCAGTTGTAGACTTGTAGTACGCCTCTAACTTGTAATGTGAACCAGAATTCACAATCTAATTTGCCCCGTCACCCACCCCTAGACTTTTTATTCTCAAGTTCCACTCTTCTTTAAACTTGTTTTATTGAGCCGAATCTAATATCTCCATCAAACATTATTTTCAATAAAAATTATATATATATACACACAACCTTATCAAATAATATGAAGTTAGTCATATTGACCCATCGAACTCAAGTCTCGACTCCTCTAGACCGCCACTAGTCTAGAATATGTCAAAATTACTGCTCCATATTTTTCCAAGAGATTCGCCGCAAAAAACAAGTTGGCAATTTGGCTGAATGATGTCTAGCTACTATAGCAATTAACTAGCACACATATATATTCTTTTATTTTGTAGATTTACTAGTGCGTTTAGACCAGGCTAATTTGACATTTTCACAACACCTACAATTAACTCAGCCCCAAAATTAAAGGGGAAAAAATAATTAAAAGCATAAGAAAATTATATTAATTTAATGATTTTTTTTTTAAATATCTCGATCTTATTACTATGATGTTGTCATATCTTTTTTTTTTTTTTTTAAAAAAAAAAAGATAAACAGTTTTAAAATAATCTACATATATTTTTTTTTTTCAATTCTCATTTCGATCACTTAATATAACCAATAAATATATATGTTTTTTTTTTTTTTCATTTTGAGAACGAACAGGGTGGTCGAGTAGGGGGAACATGATTTTTGTAATTAAAGGTCATACGTTTGATTATTGGAAATACCCACTTAGTCGAACCTGTCTTCCTGGGTTTTTCTAATGTAGTTTATTTTGTGATTTGCAGACTATTACATGAGATAGTTCTGAAAATTTCTCCTCCTACCAAAGAGAGAGAAAGAAAAAAAAAAAAAAAAAAAGCACTTATAATAATATTTTTATGTGCTTGACTATTACTAATAGTTAATCCATGTGTTCACTTTATAGTGGTTGCTTATTTAATTTATACCTAACTAGCTAGCTATTAAGATAACAATTAAGAGTTTGGACTTGAATATCAAGTTTGAAATCTGATCGTTCTTGTGTTTTTCAAGATCTATATCATTACATTTAGATTGCATTGATGCATGTATATGAAAGTATGGACATGTTTGCAGTACTAACTTGACTAAAGTCCTCCATTTCCACAGCTTGTATGTCCGTGTTAAGTTGAGTTTCACCTAAAATCTTTATACCACATTTATTAATTCAGAAAAAGTTCTTCATTCTTTTAGAAAAATGAAAAATTGTACTGAAAGAGAGGATTGAGTAGGTGAAACATGATGTCCGTACTTAAAAGTCACGGGTTCAGTATTTGTCATTACTATCTCAGTCGAGCCTATTGCACATAATCTTCCTAGTATAATTTACCTCTCCTGTTTAATTTACGGATAGTATAACCATACCCAGCAACCAATGACATTTTATCTAATGATGGATCGTGATGCCCTTTTGGACTTGACTTGAACCTTACTGATTAAGGGTACTTTTAGTTTATATGAAAATTTTAGTCCGACCCTTCAGTAATCAGTACATGAAAAGGTACTTCGTATGTACATGATTAATTAGCAGAACAATTACATCATATAAAATTTTCTGTTGATTAATGTTACTTATTTGGTGAAACACACCGTACCAAACCCAATTATATTTTTGGTGAATCATGCCAAAATTAAATGCCATACATGCATGCATGTCTTCGGTATTAAGTGGTAAGAAACCAAAAATAAAAAATAAAAAATAAAAAATTATTAAATTGAAGGCAACGTGTAGAATAAGCATGGAAAATGAATGGTATGTTATAAACATAATGTGAATATAGGTTGGATTAAAACTTAAAAGGATATTCATAACAAATTATAAGTAATAAACTATCTTGACGTGATATACAATGTTGAAATTGTATATACTATACGTAACTAGCTAGCTTGAAAAGGATTAATGTGAAATGGTCATCACGACATCACACGTGATGAAAGATTTTAATCTAAAAGATATATATTTAGATTGGAAGAGGTGTGTGTGTGAAAGAGAAAGAGACTTTGTTGGACAAAAAATATATAATTATAATAAATGTATAATATTATTATTGTTTGAACACATTAATTTTTCAATTTGGTATTAGTGGATGGGACATTATGTGTGTGTGTTTAAATTTGATATTAACAACTTTAATCAATCTGCTAAGACATTACACACTTAATGTCCGCATATATATATATATATATATATATATATATATATATATATATATATACATTTTTTAGCTAGTACCATTGACTCTGTTACAAAATAGTATCTGCTCAATATACTTTCTCTATCTATTGTAACTCAAAAAGTCGATCCAATAATATAATCTTCTCTCGAAGAGAGCCATAGAGGTACCAACTGAGTATAAGTTACTTAACAATGTCCACATCTACTTACTTTCACAATGAGATGATCGAGTGGTGGTAGTCTGGTAGCAGATAGAGAGGAGTTGGGAGATCATAGTGGATGAAAAAGCGGAATGAAGTGAAACGTGGAGCACATGCACATTCTTCCATTTTAATTTTCTACATACTATATCTTACGTACTTTAATTTGAAATTTACTTTTTAGTATTTACTTAATGTGGCAACAAAAATATAGAGAATAAAAGACTCTATCAACAACAATGGTCTTTCCAAATTAAAGACAAAATTTTCCAGGGAAAGTATTATTATTTTTCTAGAAAAAGAAAAAATGACAAGTACAAATGCAACATGCCAACATTGTCAAAATTCCATCAAGAATCAAGAAATTGAGGTATATTGTAATGTAGTTGAAAGTTGAAACACTCCAAATTCTGCGTGGAAAATTATGGTTGGGCAAATGTTCCTAGCTAGCTGATGCTGGCAGTATGGGTATATGTTTTAATCATTATAGACATATATAATCTAATTTAGGTTTGACGGGAAATTAAGAATAAAAACGTGTAGAATAATATTAGTGGAATTTATAATAATAATAATAATAATAATAATAATTATTATTATTATTATTATTATTATTATTTTGGATAACGATGAGAACTCATGTCACTATTCAAAATATGTACGAAGTAAAATTACTCTTATATAATAACTCGTAAAAAATATAAACTTAATTCAGTCAAATGTAATGTGCTTTTGGTCCTATTTAGAATAGTTCTCCTAGATGATTTCATATTTAAACGACTCAAATCGATCATTCTAATTTGATTCAATAACGTAACTTTTGATATTTATGCATTTTGATATAATACACTACAAGAAAACATTAAAATATACCAACATATTTAGCAACAGATTAAGTATCTACAAATTAAATGCTTACTAATTTTAATGTTTTACCAATGATAATCTCTATCTCTATATATATTAAAACAAAATGATGGTCACAAAATTTTCCCTTCAAAGTGTGAATGCATTTTAATAGAAACAAAATTAGCCATTTAGCAGTGCAATGTTGAACACTCAACCTTCCATAACATGCATGCTCTACCAACCCGTCTAACACATCTTTCATTTATTTATATCTATTTTGTTTTTTACTTATACTCTATACATGCTCTCTCTCTCTCTCTCTCTCTATATATATATATATATATATATATATATATATATATATATATATATATTATTTATTTATTTATTTATTTTTGAATGCTATTGACTCTATTACATTGTAGTATCTGTTCAAATATACTTTCTCAACATAATGAAGCATAAAGTACCAAGACCTCTCACATAAAAAAGGCCACTACATACCATCTAAGCATAAGGTACTTGTCATATATATATATATATATATATATATATATATATATATATATATATTTATATTACAAGACTATATATGGGGTGGGGTGAGAGGAAGGGGACAATTGTCCCCACTATAGATCCGTCGCTGACGATGAGAGCATTAGGTCATTCAGTTTGGTTGATTAACTAACATAGAAAGTATGCAAAATTAAAATTGACTTGGAATTTTTATTGCAATCAAGTGACTTCGTTAACTATATTTGGCCCCATCTTCACGACCACTCATACTTTTCGTTGAATCCCTAGCTTTGAGCTTGACTTTATTTTATAATTACATTTCTATCAACAACATTATCAATCTAAAGATAACTTCTAACTCCTATGTTCTGTCCAAAGATATCAATGAAACTATATTTCCGCACAAAGAATCAATATAATAGATCGAGAATTCAAATTACTAATGCGTATTGTTAAATAAATACTGTACTAAAAATCATGGAATTTCCGACCATCTGAAAGTGATCTTAAATCAAGTTGAAAGCCTAGTTTGTTTCGATAACTTTTGGTATCCGGAAAAATCTTTGTTGCTATTTCTGACCACTTTTTACTTTCGATTCGATTTAAGATCACTTTTAGGTGGTCGGAAATTACATAATTTCCAACACGGATATATGTTAGATTATATTCATATAAAATTAAGTTAGTATATAACAAATAGTCAAATATTATCTTGTAAATAATCATGAGTGTTTAAAAAAGGGGTTTAAATCAAAATTTATTTTAAATTGACTAATTAATGCAATATTAGATCGGACAAAGAAATTGAGATACAACTACAGAAGTATATATAGTGAGTCTAACTTTACAAGAAAACTGTAGCTTTAACTGCTATTGATATGTGTTTTGGCCGAAGTTTACCTTTTGATCCTAGCTGATTGAGTCCTGTTAATTATTATTTGGTGTTACTATACTAAGTAATGTGCCAAACAACACCAATTTGGCCAATGATAATAAACTAATAACTGATTGTCGTCTGATTCAATTAATGATATGATTTTGGTCTGTCATTTCCATGTCCAAAGCATTGGCTCCAGAGCTGCACAGTTATCTTCGAGAAAGAAGGATCCAACGTTGTCAAAGTACGGCAGTTGTTCTTCTTGGATGCCGATGCCCGACGCCGTTGTTGTTGCCGCCACCGCCGCCGTTTCCAGGCAAATCAGGTTCGCTAAACTGGCGTTTTGGTATTGCATGTTAAAGATCTCGGCCTGCGCCTTGGCCAGCTGCGCTTGCAGCTCACTTATCTGCTTCTGTAGCTGGCATATCGCGCCGGCGCAGCCGTACACCGGATCCCTTATCCTCGCTTGCGCCTCGTAAACGATGCTGTTTACTGCATCCGCTCTTTGATCCTCACCGAGCTCCTGTAAAAACAGAACACATATTTCAATTTGGTATCAGAGCAAACAGTTTATTGAAGTCAAAAGTGGATGTTGGTAGGATTCCAACCACTAATTAATTGGCCCAAATCACCAAATGAGAATTCAAAATGTTCAAACTTGCTATATAGGCACTATGTAGCATTGTAGAGTTACACCTAATATGATGAATTATTTATTGAGATCATACGTTAATCTTTTCACCTAATGAGTTTCTGAGTTACAGTCATTTATTATCTTATTATAAATTTTGTCCGGCTGAGTTTGTGATTAAAATTTTAGAATTTTACAAATAGAAATCATTATTAAATTAAATATTATATTTATGATGCAATTAAAAGAGAGGTGTGATGTATGTAATTAATGTACCTGCAACATTTTGATGATGTTGCTAGCTCCGAAGACGCGGTGGGCGATGGTGAACTTGAGCGGGTCGGTGGGCGGGAAGTAGGGCGCCAGCACGCACTTGTCCACGCATCTCCGCCGGAGAATCTTGCAGGCCGCGCAGGGAGAGACGACGGCAACCGACGACGACACCGGAGAGGAACTCCTCGTCTTCGTGGGAGACACGGCGGCTGGGGACGAGGCAGCAGATGAAGACGGCGGCGAGAATGGAGTCTTCAATGATGATGCGGCGGCGGTCATGTCACCGGTGGTGTATTCCATATTTGTTCTGTGTGATGATCGATGAGATCGATACGTACGTTGCGATTGGTATATATAGAACAGACCATACCGGCCTTCCACGATGCTTCATAAGTTGCCCCCACACACATATATAGTGTTAAAAGTTGCACAGTAAAATTGTTTATAATTAAAAAAATATAATCAGGTTTTTTTTTTTTTTTTGTTTGATCTGATCCATCTGATTTTTATAGATATAAAATTAACATTGATTCTTAGTTTTTTTTCTTGAGAGTGCCTGATGGGATATAAGCCTATATATTTATATGTATGAACATTTTGCAATGTCACGGTCTTTCGTGCCTTTAGTTAACATGTTATGTACATTCATTTATAACTAAATATACATAATATATTAACTGAAAGTACATAATCTATTAAAAAGGTCCTTAATTTGTAATACACCAAACCCATATATTTATGCAAGGGTATTGACAATAAGAAGGTAAACCAATCTTTTTTTGAAAGCTACTGGTTCTATTACATTGTAGTATCTGTTCATTGTAGAAGGTAAACCAATCTAAGTTGTCTATAGCTAATTGACTTGAACCATACTCCTTTGAGAGTCAAACGTGTAATTTAACCAACTTAATTAAAGTTACCCCACGATATTCACTAAGCAGGGTGTTCATGTACCTTATTATCCTTATCCATTCTCACGTATTTTCGGGGCCGCGTCAAAGTATAAAAATAGATCATCGATATTTCGAAAAGCAAACTCATCGTTTAAGTTAGAAAAGAAAATAGGGGTGAGAAACTGAGAAATCAAAGGATAGATAAATAGTTTGTCTGAAATCTGAATGGAAAATTAGCGGAAATTATAGTGGGAAAATGTGTTTGCGTTCAAGACTTTGGGAAGCCATCATCCTACATGCACCAATCGGTCAATATAATGGAAACGTCACTTTAATTAGGAAGTTAATTAACAGTGATATATTTATTTACCTTGTATTATAAACCCCTTAATAATTCAACCCAACAGGGTAGCTCAAGTGGCAAATGAGCTCTCTTTGTGGGAGAGAATTTCGGGATAACCTGCTTCCAATTTCCACAAGTGACGATTCTCTTTGGGCCAGCTTCTGTGCCTCTCGGAGTGAACCAGGTGAACCTGGACCCGACCACAATGTGAGGGAAACTTGTAGTAAATCAACTTAAGTTGGTATTTATAGCCTGATTGACTCCAAATTAAAAGACCAACAAATCACTACTTATGGGAGTTAAAATACAGTTTTGTAATTGTCAGACTAATAGTCTGATCAATATAGTTGGATTGTGCTCGGATAACTCAATGTTTCAGTAGGCGGTATTTGGAAGAAGAGATCAAGGTTCAAACATTGACAGTATAATGAGCAGATCTCTTGTGTGCATCATCGTAATTTACCTCCTTCAAAATGTTTATGATTCAACATTTTGGGAGAACATAACTGGATTGTTCCACTCCATCAAGTCATTATTAATTCAACTAAATTTTGCTGGACCGTCTTAAATTAAGGTGACCGAAAATTAATTCCATGTATAAACTAACGTACGTCAGTGATGTTCAATATTGTTGCATTAATACATAATAAGTCCAGAAGAATGACACGTCCTCACCTATGACTCGCAAGAACAAGACTATTCCAAAAAGATTTTGCTGAACCAAAAGGCAACACTTTAAAGTGGAAGGAAGTTGAGGGAGTACGAGATTGAAATTTTCTTTTTTTTAAAGCACTCATGATTTAATTTTTTACAAGGTATTATATATTATATACTTTCTTAAATATTGACACTTTCTTATTTTATTATCAAATAAAGAGATTCTTTATTAAACAGACAATTAATTAAAATATATTAATATAAATTGTTTGACTCCGACCTATTAACCATCTTAATTTGAGTTGATCAATTATAAACAATTTAGTTTGATTTGTTTTATTATAATTATTTACAAGTTAGGATCAGAAAATGAGATTACACCCCAAATAATAACAATAATTTTTTTCTCGTCACTCAAAAAAAAAATATACTATTATTTTTTTTTTAAATACGTGTATATATGCATTTACATTGAGTTGTGATGGGCCGGCGCTAAACTCCATCTTCCAACGACCATTGACAGACTGACTCATGACTTGGCACTTGATTGAAAATGACCTACTTTTAGTCTTGTTTTTGAAATAGACCTACTTTTATTTTTAAAGCCAGACTTTATTCCAATTCACACATTATACACAGACGAACAGTGCAGTAGTACAGGAAAGCGATCAAATTAATTAATTAGTTCACTCTCGTATTAAAATGTCACGAGTTCAATTCTTAGGGGAGTGTATTCAATCATGACTTTTGTAGAGTTTTAAAGACTTTTAAAATGATAGATTTTAATAAATTTTGATTGACTTTCATAGAGCTGTTCAAAACTTTTTAAAACTTTATAAGACTTTATAAAAGTCTATATAAAAAACATTCATAGACTTTTATCAATTTTTTATTTTAAAAAGTCTACAAAAGTCATTGAAATTCTAAATTGAATACATCCTTAAAAACTTTCAATGATTTTGATTCTTATCATTTACAATTTTCTTACAAAACATTTATAATATATCATAAAATTCTTCTTATTATATAGTTCTTCACCCACATCAACATTCTCAACATTATTATTTTTATCCATAGTATGCTAAGACTTATATGTTAATTACTTATATATATTATTAATAAACATCAACAAAAAAAAAATATTTCATTAAAAATTCATAACAATATTGAATAATAAAATTTATATATAATAAAAGACTTTATCAAATAAAATATTTAAAAATATAATTACAAGTTGCATAAAATAAAAAAATAAAAAAATAATATTAATAATATATATAAAATTATACTTGATATATTGCTAGGCATCACGCAAAGAACTATTATTTGCAATAGCAATTTGAGACTGCAAACAATAACAAGGTGCTACTATTTGCAACCCCAAATTGTTGTTGCGAACAATAATTTGCTACTCGTAGTAACCTGTTGTTAATATATATATATATATATATATATATATATATATATATATATATATATATATTATGAATATAAACATAAAAAGAATAAAAATCAAAATATATAAGTATTTATATGAATATTATGAAACATAGAAAAAAATAAAAATCAATATAAACAAGCAATAATGAAGTAAAAATAATATTATTTCAAATTTTTAGGAGAGAGAAAAATTGGTAAAGTCTAGGTATGAGGAAAATATAGGATAATGAAGAAAAAAATAATTTTATTGAATTTAGATAGGTCTATAGAGTTTAAATAGGGAGAAAAAAAAATAGAGAGAGAAAACATTCAAAGTTGTTAGAAAGAAAATTTGAAATCTGGGGGTTGATGGTTGGATTTCAATTATTTATATTTGAGAAGGAAAAGTCTACAAAAGTCTTAAAATTAAAAAGTCTACAAAAGTTCATAACTTTTTGAATACCACATGACTTTTAAAGACTCTTTAAAAATATTGATTGAATACCGCTTGACTTTTAAAGACTCTCTAAAAGTTTGAATTGAATACCTTCAAACTTTTAAAGTTCATAAAAGTATTTAAAACTCTATGAAAGTCATGATTGAATACACCCCCCTTATTAATGTTCTTTCAATCAAATTTATTATATAAGATCTTTTTAATGTAATTTATCTTTTATGTATGATTTACAAGCTATTATATATGGATGGAGTTTATACAATGCACATTTTAAAATAGTGAATATGAATTTTTCTCGTCACATTAAAAAACAATGGAATTGGTTGGTCTTGAAATTGACTAGAACTAGGATGACTTTTTGGGTAGATTTAGATTATTATTTATGATATTTATATGCGTATATAGGAATGTGAATGTTTGGTATTTTTCAAAAAAAAAAAGGAATGTGAATGTTTGGTGTTTCCTTGAGCTTCAAGGTCGGGGTCAAAGTAGAGTTAAATTAATTGGTTGCTGTTTCTTTTCTTCGACGTTTGTGTGCCCTAGTCTACACGTACGTACCCAATCTTCTCATGCAGTACTTATCTTTTTCTTCATTTTATTGAAGAAATAAATAAATAAATAACTAAAAGAAAGAATCAATTGTGATGGTTGAATCTTTCAAATTGCCTTAATTTTTTTAATTTTTTTTTTTTTTTTTTTACCTTCGTTTGCATTTTTTTCTTGCTTTATATTATGCTTATTTTGATTAACTAAAATACTAATCGCATGTTTGGTTCACAAAATAAATTTTGAAGGAATAAAAATGATAGTCTATAAGAAATAGACTAGATAATAAAGAATATAATACTTCGTATAAATTAGGGTTACACTTGTGTGATGAGACCATCTCACGTATCTTTATCTGTGTGACAGGTCGATCAATATTGATTATTGAAATGTAGTATTTATACATAAAAGTGTAATACTAATAAAAAATAAAATGTTTGTCATTTATTATAAGAGAAAATGTAATATTTGTGTTTTACGTAAAAGTATTACATTTCCTAGTAATGTTGACAAGCGTTTGTTACTTATAACGAAAAATGTAATATTTTTGAGAAGTTTTATCCATGTGCGGGGAATTGATTGGGAAACTGAACACTATGATAATAGGGCCAAATCTTACTTCGATCAAGTTGTTCGTGCTTCTCCTGATGATGGGTAAGTTTATACACTGTGATTGCACTTCAATATTAATATATATATGCGATTTCAAATTGAAACTACTATTGGAGACTCAAATTAAAAATGATAACAGTACGGAGTTGGGATCTTATGCACACTTCATGTGGCAAGCGGAGGAAGACGATACCGACGGCCACTGCTGAGTAGAGATGGGAGTGGCGGTGGTCAGAGCGTTGTAGAATCCTCACTATAAGTGGTTTTGTATTTTGCTATGGTTAATAATAATATGCTAAGTGAATGGATGAGTATACCCCTAACATGGACGAAAAGTTAACGTAAAATGTAACAGATGACTAATTTAGGTCAAGTGTTAGTAGTTAAAAGGTAATTCACAATAGTCAAGAGAACTCAACTGGTATAAACTCAATAAAATAATCATAGTGTTTTATCTCAATTCATATTTTTTCTAATTGTGCACTTTGTTTGGTAACCGTGATAAGTCAAAATTTAATTGATTTAACCAACTTTAGTTGTTTTAAATTTGTCAAATGCCAAACAACTACTATATGTGTTTGGTAAACATAATTTGACATGTTAAGTTAAAAATAAAAATATTACTCCGTATTTTTTTTTAATGTCTTTCAACAAACACAATAAATTATCTGTTAATACAATTATTTAGTATCAATTATTCACTAATTGCTAGCACAATCTTTATGTCTTTTATATATTCTTTAGTGGTAGTATACTACATTATAATGATACTTTGTATGTGGTAACGAATTCAATCAAGAAGAAATGTATTGATAAGAATTAAATTTATGATTTAATGTCTCTCTAAAATCTTACTTTTGCAAATTATTACAAGTCTTTTTTCATTGCAAGAGGTAAAACCAATATACATTTTCAAGAAAGAATTTAAATTTTATGACAAATTTGATCCGATGATTGGATAAAATAAACCGTAAGATGTGATATCATCAACTTTTGTGTAAATTGCTGTTGAAGAAAGTTGTTGCAATGTTGATGAAATCCGCACCGTTCAATTTGCTCCTATTCATTAAGCCATATGGAGTGGCTATTCGTCCTCCAGCTGTTGTTGTCCTCCGCGGCATATCGCTGATCGGACTTCCACCGCTAAGTGGTGGCAGAAATTCCATTCCGGTCCCTCCTCGCGCTAACCGTTCTCAGCCACTCTCAGTCGTGAAAATGGAGAGCGCCTGCGAAACAAAACCTTCTCCGGCCGTGGTGAAGCTGAAGCCCATCGAAGCTACTCCGGAGACCTTCCGAGAGTTTGGACAAGTGATTGAGGCGTCGCCCGACGGCGAAGAGTTCGGCCCCCGCGATGCTCAACTCGACCTCAGCCGTGGCGTTCCTAGGTTTTTCAATCTCTCTCAAGCTCAATCGATCGATTAGTTGTCCTTAATTTGCCAGTAAAATTGTTAGTTTCATTTTTTGTTGATTTTGTTGCTTAGATTGCCTTTCTGCTGAGTTTGATTTTGTTCTGAAGCAGTTGTGATATTCATAACTGAAAGTAATATGCGAAATTAAGGATATCACCTAGAGAGTAGAGAAAAGTTCATACTGTTGTTTACCTAATACATAATGAAGATTAATTTTGTAAGCAATTCTCGTATAAATTACTGGTAGCAAAAGGGAAATAAAATGGATAATGAATGGGAGAGGATTTTCATTGTTTTATTGCTTATTGCTTGTGTACTGGATAATTAATGGAAGAGGTTAAGGTTATGAAATAGAACTAAGGATAATAGGTTCTCGAGTTGCTCATTCTTGATGTTCTGCTAGCATGCTTTTGCAAGAGCCTTTGATTAATGACATTAAATTTCTAGATCATGGAAGTGCTTGAAGTTTCAGATTTCGTAGGAGAAAAGGCACCAGAAGTTTCTTCGTGTGTGTATCTATATATTTGCAAATGCTCTCCTTTATCCATCCAAATCCATCAATATATGTGAATGCATAATCATATCGATGAATGAATTGCTTATGGATGCAACACTTCAGGTTTTACATTATGCAACTCAAAGGTCGGTCATTGAAGTTTTCAAGCATTACACACCATGCCAATGTGACACAGTGCCTTGGATCAATTGGGGGCAATGTTTGGTATCTTGGAGTTGCTAAGTCATCTATTGTAGATCCAAGTGAAATTAAGGGAGAAACGGGTGTTAATATCCAGCAATCAGATAGTGGGCATTTCTATGTGCCTCCTGCTGTTGACGAAGTACATGCATTTAAAATTTCAGGCTCGAAGTTTATAAAGCTAAACCGAGGTACATGGCATGCTGGACCATTGTTTAACGGGGGTGTGATGGACTTCTACAATCTGGAACTCAATAATACAAATGTAAGGCCTTCTTGCATTGTCTTATTACATAGTTTCTTTAGACTAAGTATATGGTGTCTGTTCAAGTTGCTCGTCCCTTGGGGATCCCTTTTCTTCCTAGGTCCAAAAAGATTCATTTTTGCAAGATATAGTGAGACCAGATTTGGACTAACATGGTAGGGATAATATAGTCTCCTGTACGTAATTCATGGAAAACTTTCTTTCCATATATATAGATCACATCAGTGCAATGGGAGTTCATTGTGATTCAGTGTGCATCATAAAAAATCCGTGATGCGGGATAAGGAAGCAGAATAGGCCTTTGACAATAATCACAATATTGAATTTGGATACTAAGCTTTGTTTTTATTATTGTTGTCATTGTCATCATTATTACTCCCTCTGTCCTATTTTATGTGTTTGGTTCGGTTAACGAGACTTGACTGAAGTTATTTAGAATTCAATTTTTCATAATATTAAATTTAGTACTAGTATATAAAATTTATATATTTAGTAACTACATTAAAAGTACTATTAAACACAAAAAATCAAATTTAAAATAATTAAAAAATACTAAAGAAAATAAGCAAAGAAGATAGAGTTGGTTTGACCAATGAATAGTAAACATGACAGATTGACCGGTAAAATAAGACATAATGAGTATTAATATTAATGGATTTGAATGTAATGGTTTTTCATACTAAGATTACAAGAGAGAACTTGAAGGTGTTGCATTATCACAACTTTAAGAGGTGATGCAACAAATGTCTCAAAGTGGCTTGTTGGTCTTCAAATATGTATGCTTTTTTAAAAGTTATTTTCAGCAAGATAGCTTTATTCATATTACTCCAGTCTTCTTCGGGGGTGTTGAGGATGCAATAATAATGTAAATTGCGGTTTCACACAGGTGGTTGATCACACAACACACTACTTCAGCAAGAAGAATAATGTGGTGTTCCATTTGGAGGAGTAATTGATCTTCTCCAGCAAAGAGTTTTCTGAGGGGAACAATAGGAACGAATTGTGATGATTTCTGCATTTCTTTCTTTCCCTTGCAGAAGATATAACTATATCTGTATTTTGTACTAAAAAGTAACCTTGCAGGTCCAGGTTTCCCTGTACTTGAAAGTATTTATGCACAGTTCTCTTGGCTCTTGCGAATGCATATATCGGCCTTGTCCATGGGTAATGTTGTGTAACCCTATATTTTTGTTAATTATGCAGAAAGTGGATTACTTATTGTGTGTGTATATGGTGGAAGTAGTCTATTTACGTTTGTACCTGAGTAATTAAAGGTTGGAGGCACTAAAAAAGAGTTAATTCCAGCAATGGTCCTCCGACTATAGTGATTTTCCAAAATTAGTCTCCGACTTTTAATTTGGACACTTTAGGTCCTTTGACTTTCAATTTCTTTCCAATTGAGGTCCTTTCGTTAGAATACGGTTCATTAGACTTTAAATGAAGGGGTAAACTCGTCCTTTCACCTGCCTATGTATTATTCTTCGTATTTCTCCCTTCGTATTTCGCTGTTATACCTTGTAAACATCTCAATAATAGAGGAACGTACACACGAGTAGTCAGCAAATGGGGAACGACGAGGAACATTTTAGGGTTTCGACTAAGATTATCTTCATATATATCGCGTATACAATTGAGAAATACTAAGAATAATACATAGGCAAGTGAAATGATGAGTTTACCCCTTCATTTAAAATTCAATTAACCGTATTCTAACGAAAGGACCTCAATTGGAAAGAAATTGAAAGTCAAGGGACCTAAAGTGTCCAAATTAAAAGTCAAGGACTAATTTTGGAAAATCAATATAGTCGGAGGACCATTGCTGGAATTAACTCCACTAAAAAATAAAGAAATGTTGTTGAAGGTAATGTAAGAATTGTTCTCTAGGATAGTAATGTAAAGGACAATAATGAAATGTAGCAATTGTTATACCGTGTACCACTGACCAAAAGGTTCATTTCTAAGTATATTGAGTGTAATACTTAACAATGAATATTCATTACAATAAAAATGAACTTGTATTAGTGATTCATGGTATAAATTGATGTAATTTAGTAGAGTAATAATATACTAGAGTAATATCCAAAAGACAATAATAGTCACTAAGGACAATGATAGTTTTGGGGCTACTGTGTCAATTGGCACCGTGCTTTTGTACAAACTCAAAGTCAAAAAGCGATAGGATTTGTACAAACTCAAAGTCAAAAGCGATAGGATTTGTACAAACTCAAAGTCAAAAGCGATAGGATTTGTACAAACTCAAAGTCAAAAAGTGATAGGACAAGATTGACGTTGTCTTGGTACATATTCAAAGTCTTCACCACTCACTTTAAAGTGATATTCGATATAAGAGTTATGTATACCAATTAACACCTTAGAATTTTCATATTTAACAAAAAAAACCTTAGAATTTTCCTAAATTAACACAAGCTAAAAATTAATGATTATGAGTTTAACAATTCGCACCATGTCTACAATAAGAAGGGGAAGACCACTATGGATATGATAATGGAAGTTCCTCAATCAATTAACATAGAGTATTGTATTGAAAAATGACAATATATATGTTTAATTAAATGTCAATCTCAAACAAGTAATTCTATTATTGCCTTCAACTCTTCGGGACAAATTTATAAACATCCCATCTTCCGATATCTCCATTGATTTTCTTGACACTCACATACGAGTCAGTTTTCAATTTGACACATCCTAACAAATCACATATTAATCTTCAAGTCACTTTTCAATTCGACACATTCATAACAAACCACCTATTCATCTTCATGCATCTTGTGTTTAGTCCACCTCTCCAATTACAAATGTTTAAAAATTGTTTAGATTAGGTCATGAGGTATCCTGACCCGTCCTAATTGTATGAGACATCTTTAAACCTGTACCATACTCAAACAAATTACAAATGTTTAAATTAAAATAGTGAAAATGAAAACACTATAATACACCCTTAATAACTTTAGTGGGGAGTTATCCGCAATAAGATAGTTTCAAGAAATTTTGGTTTTGCGAAGCCCTCGAAACAGAGAATCTAAACTCTCCGGTAAGTCATACACACTTCGCTTCTTCGTCTTCTCGAATTTCCATTAGGTCGAGCTAAATCCGTTCGTATTCCCAAAGATTGAACTCATTAGAATTTGATTTTCAGGATGTGAAAGCATTTTGATTTCAGAATTTGGAGGCTGATTATAGTGTGTTATTGAATTATTGCAGAACATTCAGATTCATACAGAGATAATAAAAGTGCGCTGTTGTGATACTGCGAGGAAGGGAATCAAATTAATCAATGGGTTCGGCAGGGAAAGAGGCGTACAGGAGCCTTCTGAAAGCGGTGAAGAAACACGTTGTAAAAGGAGAGCACAAACCCTATTTCACCGACTATATAAGGGAGGAGTTTAGGAAGAGCGTTAACAGTCAAGCTCCTAACGCTCGGGAAGGATTACAGCTTGCCAAAGATTACACTTTTCTGCTCAACAGTGTTCACCATCACAAGGTCACTTCTTGTTCCTTATAATTCACATATTGCTTGTGTATTTGCTTGCTAAAACTAGAAGGAAAAGGAGAATTTTAACTGTTCAAGTCATTTTAAGTTTGTTGTTAGATATACAGTATTATGCTGTAAGTTAACTGAGCAGAATGGAGAAATTGAGTCCATCTGTACAAGTTTTCGACCCCAACTAAACTGTGGTTAAAGGTTAGTTAAGTTGGATTCTAGTATTTCTTTGAGTGAGTCTCCTGAGACCTTGGGACCAGGGAATGTAATACTAATCAGGAATAAATTGTTCATACTTAGTGTAATATACTTCTGAAGAAAAATGTAATATTTAGGAATTGAATAATACTAATCAAGGATAAACTGATTGATTGTTACTTATGGAAAAAGTGTAAAACTTGGAAAAATGTACGGAGTAATCAAGGATCCGCGAGATGGTCTCATTTGAGTCTTGAGATTTTGCCTTTTTTTTTTTTTTTTTTTTTAATGTTTGGAGTTTTGGGTTATTTTCCCTTTAATATTGTGTGGCCGTGTGGGTTGAATGGCATTGTTTGTTTCATGGGTGCACAATTTCCTGCATTTTAATCTGGCTCCAAGTTCTTGGATTGTGGATACTGGATAGACGTTGTGATCAAAATTCTCCAGCATCTTGGTTGCATCAGGATCTATTCACGAAATCAGCTGCTGTCTTAAATGTAAGCTGAGAGGTTTAAACAAAGAAAAATCATCTGAATTGTTGCTGTTTAACAATCTTATCACTTGCAAATGTAGAAGTACTTGCAATCATATTCATCTACTGCCAATTTTGGTGTAGTGTATCTGCTCTGTTGTTGATGTTGGGAATATGGCTATGGATGGAGAGGGTGTGGGATTGTGGGATTTGGATAAGTTATAGCATGGTGCTGTTAATAATGTGTGTAAGCATGGGCTTAATTGTTGGGAGTGCAATCTGTATTAGAAGTAAACCCGGAGGAGTAGAGGTTTCCTCTGAGTATGTAGAAAACGCAATGAGCATACACTCATTCCCAACGTAATGGTTATACAATCACGTTTTATCAAGATCAGTGCTACCTTAGATACCAGAATGCATTCTGCAATCTGCAGAGAAATTGTTAATTGCATCCTTTCCTGATATCCAACCATGACAAGGCTGGTTCAGAACTGAGAGATGGAAAGCATTTGTGGTTTTTATGAACTGTTTTTAATCCCTGATTTTAGCCTTTCTGACTATTAATGAATCTTATATATATCTTGATTTTCCCACTTTGATTTGGAAGAACTACCTGCACCATAGGGATTTAAAAGAAGCTCTCTCTTGAAATCAAAAAGCGAAATTGACTTTTGATGACAGACTTACCCATTGTAAGAAGCACTTATTGAGAAACTGTGGAGTTCTCTTTCAAGTCTATTTTTCCATATTTTTCCTTGCCTGTTTCGCACGATACGTAATGTTTGTAGTGTGGGATAACATTGATATTTACGACAATGACGATATTCTTCATTTTAATTTTCTGATATGCTCTTCCTCAGGACTTGCTATTTTCTTACAATATCGCGGTTGATAGGTCTGATGAGATGAAGAAAGTTCTGGGCAAATCCGCAGCAAGTGTGGGTCTCCAACTCCCTGATGTTTATCAGCCATGACAGCCAGTGAGTACCTTACTTACTGCACTTCTCATTACCACTAGAAAATATCTTGTGATTATCATCTCATCTCCCTTACTCTCTTGTCGAATAATTTGCTTCGACATCCCTCAAAACATGCTTCAATTCATCCATTTCTTCCTTTCTTTTCTGGGAACCCTTCCCCTGGGTGGGAAGGTATCACAATTTAAAACCAGCAATAATCCATATTAAGTGGTGATTTGGAGAACTAATTATTCTACATTTTTTGCTAATGTCTTATTATGTAGAAGGAGCTTTCATTAGCAGCAATGGAAACTGGGATTTGCTGCAAAACTGCCCAAATTCAGGCATTTATCAGCTCTGCAGAATTTCCAAGCCTTTTTACATGCCTTCAACATGAACAGCATTGATAATGCTTCAGTCAAGAAATCTTGTTGAATTTCAAGTTTTTTTTTTTAATAAAAATAAATAAATAAATAAATATAATTGTGGTATTTTAAGGTTGTGATTTTCGCATTCCAATTATTTTGATTTAGGAAAAAAATATTAAAATAAAAAAAACAGGAATTGTACTAAAATACATAAGGGAAAGGATATCGTTACAGAAATAGGGAATGCATTATTTATTTATTTATTTTTACGCTACAGAAGGCATCGAATGCTAAACAAGCAATACATAAAGTGCATAAATAATGCCCGGAAAATATCCCAGAAATGTTAATATTAAATCAATCCAGAATTCCACCTGCAAAATCCCAAATCTTTAGATCAAAAAAAAAAAAAAAAAAAAAAAAAAGGTTTTGAGTTCAATTCATGTTCTCTTTCCATATGTTTTGTAGAAATGCATTTTTATTGCCTTCGTGATTTTTTAAAATAATTACGTTATCATCTGCATTTATACGATCAACACTTACGTAGAGATCATTGCGTTTATATATAAATCAAAAATCTTTTATTTATTTATTGTTGATTGATGATAAAACCTTGATTAGTGCAATACAAAAAAAAGATAATTTTAAGATTTAAGAAAAAAAAATTAAAGGAAGAAAGAAACGTACTCCACAACCATAGCGAATGAAGACACCAAGAGGTGGTAAGAAGATGGCAAGAAGGACTTCGATGAATGTTGCTGAACCCATTAATAATCTCTTCTCTCTCTCTCTCTCTATATATATATATATCTCTATCTATACACACCTTCTAGAAGGAATAACTCAAATCCCAGCAACAGAAAACAACCAAGTTTCCTAGATTACTACCAATTTACCAAAGAGGTCTCCTCTCTTGTATTTCTGAGAAATTAAGGAACCCAAAAAAAAATCACATTTTATGAGTAACAGTCAGGGAGATGACACTTGGCACCATTTCAACGTTTTGGAATCAGAAGATGTAATGGTGTGTGCCTTTTGACCCAGTCTTCAACTAACACCATTCAGATCTCCCTCTTTTTTTTTTTTTTTTTTTTTTTTTTTTTTGGTGAGGCTCTCCCTCCCTCTCTTTAATCCATTCTTTTCTTTGTTCTTTCAAGAAGCTGAATTTAATAAATTTAATAAATAAAAGATTAAAATGCTAAGCATTGTATCATTGTATGGAAATATGTTCTTTTTAAAAATAATTAATATTATAAGAAATTTTTTAATTTCATAAACACTAACAAAGTAATAATATCAAGAATAATGATTGAAAAAATCACTATATATTCTTCAGGTGCTTGAGGGCACCTAGCGCGTGTATTTTTTTTAAAAAATTGTTTAATTTTAATGAAAGTTGATAATTATTTAATAATTTAATAGCTAAGACTAAATATTAACCTAAAACGTCTAGGTCTGAACGATTTAAGGTTATTTTGCTCAAGATAATATCGTTTTGGATGAAATAACTTATTTTAAAACAAAATAAATAAATAAATAACAATAGCTAATCGGTCGACTAGGCGGCCTAACCATCAGATCGCCTAGACCACCGATTATGTCATTATGGTGACCTAAAGCGTGATTTTTTACAACAATGTCAAAGAATAATACTTATTATACATATGTACAGAATTACCAATGACGTAATATATAAAGACAATCTCTTATGAGACTGTCTTATGAATCATCATCCGTGAGACTAGTCCCTCATAAGAATTACGGAGTGCAATATTTTTTAGCTGTAACTCTTCTACTCCTAATATACATTTTGATTTCAAAGTATTGCACTTTTTTTTTTTTATATATCAAAAGTATCACTTTCATCATAAATAACAATCAATCAATTTATCCTTCATTAGTATTACAACTTTTCACCCCTAAACATTACATTTTTATTTAAAAGTATTACACTTTTTCTCAAAAACATTACACTTTCTCTAATAAGGGAGAATTTATTCTTGATTAATATTACATTTTCTAACATAAGTATTACACTTCCATCTTGACCTGACCCGTCTCACAATAGACTCACCCTTCAATAAATAATGCCAATAAAATTAGGAATTTTGGGATTAAGGGTAATAATATAAACCTCAAAGCACACAGGCAAAGCTCAAGAAAATGCAGAACTGAACAAAAATGGCGACAGACAAAGAAACAGAAGAATGAAGTTCTCCATATTTGAGCCAACAAGATCACAAAGGAGGCAAAGAAGCTTCATCAAATCAAATATATACAGAAATGGAGAAAAGGCGACGAGAGTCCTAAGTTGACTGATTAAAAAAGCATCTAACAGAATTCACGGTAGAAAAATACACCACTCTACATGAAACATTTTGCAGATTCTACAGGAAAGTGAACATCTTTTTTTCGTTTTTCATCTCTTTGTTCTAATTAGATGAATTGAAGTCTGGTTGGTTACCTTCTACTTTGCTGTCCTCTTTTGCTAATGATTGCATGGCTATGGCTTTATCATTGAATGCTCCATCTTCTCGATCTTCTCTTGGCTGAAACACAAAAGGCAATCCGAGTACTTAGAAAACACTCGACAATGCAAAGGCTGAGAAATAAGAGCTTAATTCTCGCAAGAAATAATGTATTGAAGGAGTGTATGCAAACAACAATGAAAAAAGAACATTCAACACGAGTCTAAAACACGAGGCAATCCGAGTAATGAAATTTTATCTATAGGGTTGTGTCTGTTTATGAATAGGTGTCAGTTACGGGTAGTTACTTATAGTTATGTGTTTAATATATATATATATATATGTATATGTATATGTATATGTACTATGTTTCTTTGTTAGAAACACAGATAATACTAATATATTTCAGTCTTATATACATTTTCTATTCTTTGATTCTTCATCATTGCTTCCGCCTCATCTTCCAAATTCAACATATACAATCGATAACATCATCAGTCTTTAAGAACAGAATCGCAAAGAAAATATATTTCAGCCCTTGTTCGTTGCACAAAAAGCATGGCAAACAAAATAACAATTTTAACGGAAATTTACCAGATTCTTGTAAGGACATATCAACGAATTGATCAAATAATTTCAGGAAACTACAATAGTTGAATAAGCGCTTACCTGAACTATGATACTATTATAGTTGCTGATCAAATCGCTTCTTCTTGGCCCTGGGGTATTGAAAGGAGCAGTGGTCTAACCGAGATAACGGGTGTATAGTTGAGCTCGTAGTTCACTTGCATAGACCCGAATATATTGAACTTGCCGGCACTGCTAAAAGCAACTTCTGCATCAGATCCCCGCTTGAAGACCACTCGGGCACGGGCACAATCGGGATGAACTTCGGTCTCTAATTCCTTTAGAGGTCCAAACCGTCTAAATGTCTTATTAAGGCTCATTTCGGTAGGGAGCCGATTGCCCTCTCCAAAATTTAAGATAAGCTCTGCTGGCTCGAGCTTCCTTTTCTCAGCTTCCTCGTTGCATTCATCTCCCCCCATTTCATTATTACCAATGGAATATCGTTTCCTAGAGTATGAACGTCGGGTCGCCTTGTGAACTTTTTCCGACGAATCGAAGGGCGAAAGCGGAATTTCCTCTCTCCCGTTCTCGCCATTCTGCAGGAGCTGCTCCTCGGAATAGTTTTGAACTATCCGGTCGGTCCAATACGAGTCGTTTATATCATCGAATTCAAAATCTTCGGCTGCCCCGTCGGGTGCCTGAGATGCTCGCCTCTTTCTCCCAGCCACCGGCCTCCCAGCAGATGAATTGTGCAACTCGGAGTGCTTCGGGTATCTAAGATCTAAAATGCAATGAATAAAAGTATTCAAAAAGCTATAATCTCCCATCGGAGCCTGCGCCACCAACTGGAGCTGCGAGAACAGCTCGTCAATAGTCGGGAGCTCTGACGGGACCGCCACTTTTTCCTTCGGTGGGTTCTGCGAGGCGGGAGAGCTAGCGGCCTCGGGTTGAGCACCGTCGCCTTTTAAGTGGCTTGCAGCTCTCAGGATCCGTTCGCCAATCTTGAAAGGCGGGGGATTAGGAGTTACCGGTGTTGAACCCGACACTTTTGCAGTATAAACGCTCTTCGTCCGGTCCGATCCATCTGCAAGAGTGTCGTCTAATTCCGAGTTCCCCATTATCTCCGACATTCGTCTCTCTTTCTTCATAGGCGGCAAGCTGTCTTTCAAATTGTGCTTACGTTTATGAGAGGGAGCCTTGTTGTTCACCGTGATTCCCTCGTCATCGTTTTCCAATAGCTCTCCACCCGACAAGAATCCCGAGAGCTCCCCACATCCCTTGAAACAAGAATATGCCAATAACTGAGCACGAGCAATAACAATATCCAACTGATCGGCCCCACAAGTAGGCGACCGTGCCACTCCTCTCAAGAAATGCAAGACCTTATCGGGCGCAAATGACTTCACTCCCGTAGATTTGTCCACACCATATCTTCGGCTCGATTCTTCACGTATACCGGTATTCTCAACAACCTGGCACGCGATCTTGTTATAAGAAGATTTGGGTATGCAAGAACAGGCGAGGCCTAACTCTATCCGTCTCGAAACCTCTTCCAAGGCACCCCTTACTGCATTTTGAAACATTTCCGAGTTAGTCTGCTTCTCAATCTGGGAGAAGTGAGACCAAAATGGCTTCAGAACAGTTGCATCGTTCCAAGCAAAAGTTCGGTCCCCGAAATAAGCTACCAAAAAGCAGCCCTTCTTGTAATATCTAACGGCCTTCTCCGATGCATCTGCTGGATCAAAAATCTGTCCCGGCCACCACGGATGGCTTCTGACCTTCCCCCAGACCAAATCGGAAACTGTGAACTTTCCCGACTTTTCTGGAGGAAGTAGAAAACCGGGATATATGTTTGGAAAGTTTGCGGGCTTTGTTGCCTTCACATCCAACACCAATGACTGGTCGGTTTGAGAAGCATTCTCTCGAATTTCTCTTTGTTCTCCAATATCATCGGAACGAAGCTTCTCGTTTTCTTCTTCCCGTTGTTCATCTACAACCGTTGTTTCGGGAACACGGGCGTCCAAGAAACCATCAACGTTTGTCTCGAGTGATGCATTTTCCATCTCAATTGCTTGCCCGATCACCTCATTAGCACCTTCAACACCAGAGACTCCTATACCAGTTCCTTCGACTTGTTCTTCAGCAACGGTTGTCATTACCGTGCTTTGGCCATGATCTACCTCGGGTGTAAGTACTATATTTTGTTGCATAACTGCCTCTTCATTCGAGGTAGACTGGGAACTCATCTGATTGCAAATTTCAATATCGGTACCACCTTCAACCGTCTCAACCTTCAAGTTTTCATCTTTTGGCAATGAAGGCAAACTCCCGTGCAAAAAGTTGTCTTCTTCTTCCAATCTTTGACACTCGACCAAAGATTCCTCGGTACCAGTTTGACCACGGGATTGAACAGAACCCATCTCGGGAGTGCCTTCACTCCTTGCCTGGTCTCCTCTAGGCATCGCGTTTCTTCCTTCATCTTCTTGCCAAAACCCATCGTCGATGAATTCAAATGTGGAATTATCGACAATCTGGTCATCTATCATCTCGGTATCAGTAGTGCATTCGTTTCCTGCCTGATTCCCTTTATTAACGAGACCCGCATTCTCATCATCTGTTGGCACAGATTCACGACCATCCAAACCTTCATGTGCGTTGGCCAGGACAGATAATTCTGAATCTGTCTGTACAATATCAGAGTCTTTTGGCGGGCCCAACTTATCCTCGTCAATATCCATTGCATCAGTCTGAACAACAACATCGGAGTCTTTTGCGGGGCCCAAGTTAGTTGCATTAGTAACATCTAACTTATCCTCGTTAACATCAGCTGGGCATACTGTGTTGTTGGAGGTTTCTAAGGTTATATCATTCTCCGAGCAGTGAATACTAGTTCGATTTTCAGAATCTAGTACCCCCTCGACCTCCACTTCCATCGCATCTCCTTTCTCGAGGCTATTACATTTTGCATGGGATAGCTCTGAATCTTCACCGCTAATATTATTGATTCCAGATTCTGTTGAAGGTGGCTGATCTGACAAGACTTCTGAACTATCTTTCACATCATTATCAGCAGATGTTGGAGCTATCTTGTCAGACTCAGATTCATCGAGGACTCCACAATTAGGGTTATCAACTTCTCGAGCTCCACAACCATCACTAGCATCAGCCCGCTCATCGGGAGATTGGGAACCTGCAACTACCGTATCACAAATTGCAGTATGCTTCTCGCCATCTACTTGCAAACCCGAGTCATTATGAGGTGAGTTTTTATTATCAACAATATTTTCCATGGATTCCGCCTTTGAGTGAAAAATCTCATCTTTATTGACCTCTCCAATTTCCCTTTTGGTGGCAGCTTCAACGAGACTATCTGACTTCTTGTCAGTTTCATGAGTCGCTAAACTCTGATCATTCTCCAGAGAAGATAGCCCGGAATCTTCAACAGGCGTATCTTTGTCTTTAAAATTAGTATCTTCTTCTCCGGGCATCAAAGTAGCATCTTCTCTAACAATTTCGCTTGGCGGGCTCCTTGGCTCAGAAGGGCAATCTGAAATTTTATTGTTGTCATGACTAGAACAATCTGTATCAGCCTTATTGAGAATAGTTCGGTTCACTAAAGGTTGATCGTTCTCTGAAGATGATACTCCATGCATAGCTTCATCTTTGGAACCTGTTCCCTCTTCTCTCGGCATCAAAGGATCATCTTTGAGAGGTAATTGGCTCGGTGAATTCTCTGACTCAGTAGGACGTTCTTTATCAACCCCCTCGCAAACAGTTGAATTCCCTAAACCTTGATCGTTTTCTGAAGAAGAAACGATAGCATCTGGAACAGAATCATGCAGAGTTTCGTCTTTAGTACTTGTCTCTTCTCTTGGAATTGCTTCATCTTTTGTACTGGTCTCTTCTATTGGAACCACTTCATCTTTAGTACTTGAAACTGGAATCGATGCAGCATTTTCAGTAACAGGTTTGTTCTCTGAGCTCTTCGATTCTGGCTCGTTTGCAGTTTCATTCCTGGGATTCGATACTGAAACATCTGACTCAACACCCGTAGATGCCAACTCACCCCCTTCAACTCCTTTTTCAGTATCCTCATCCCCGAGTTTCTCTGCAACGAGAGATTGTTCGTTCACTGCCTCAACACACTCCATTTCAACGACATCCCCCCGGGCTGCCCCTCCTGAAACATCTTGAAGATCTTCAACTCCAGTTTCAGTCTTCTTCCCTTCATCACCTGACAAATGAGCATCATCTTGGACCTCCTTTGCTCCAAGATCATCACCCCCAGCATCCAAATCTTCAGTCTTGGATTCTGAATCCACCTTCTTCAAGCAATCCCCATCAACAAACACATCAGACCCCTTCACCTCAACCATTATATCACTTTCATCTCCACCCTGCTCCAAATTCCTTATTAGGGTTTCTCCACTGGCGGGCTCAGTCTCACTAGCAGCCACTGAGTTCACCCCTTCATGCTCATCCATGGTCGCCGAACCTAAGCAAAGATTCCAACTTTATTATCAGTCCAAACAACCAACAACCCAAATCTCACCAAACAAGAGGGAATTTCAATTTTCAACAAACCACATAAACCCTAATACCTAAACCATACAAATCTGACCACACCCTCCACGCAACAAATTCAAGAAACAAAAAGATGCAATCTTCAAAATCAAAACCCCAGATTGCATTCCTCATGACAACTAAAAGAACCCAGAAAAAAAAACAAAGAAGAATAATTAAAGGAGTACCTTTTGTAGGTGTCCCTCTCCTGGGGAAAAAAAAAGTCGAGATTTTTGAAGGTTTTAGAGAGAGAAGGGGGGGTTAGTGAGAGAAAGACAGAGGTTAAAGGCGCATATAGTGGTTACCTGTCCGGTTGTGTGAATCTTGATTTAAGATGACGCAGCTTTGGGCGCTGATGATCCAACTATCTTTAGACACGGCTGCAGCAAAAGGCTTTGCTGATTGTAGACAAATATAGCTCCTGGCTTAACTAGATCAATTGGATTGACCACTGGGCATCTTTCTTTTTTATTTTACTTTTTTTTTTTTTTTTTCTGATTCCAATTTAGTAATTTACAGTGATAAGATTTACATCACGATGCAGACCGATGTCCAACTGGAGCAAAAAAAAAAAAAAGAGAAGATTGGGTAAAAAGTTGGGGATTCTTTTTTTGCTTTTTAGTCCCCAATGTTGATGTGATATCTAAATAGCCCCTAAATTCTCTCTAGATTGGAATGCTGCTTGCTGATTGTTGCTTCCATCCTAATTACATGGGCTAAATTTATATTAGAATTTAGGAATAAGGGTCAAATAGGTTACTCAATTGCACACCAACTGTAATTAGACTATCAAACTAAAACATAATATAATTGAGTCATTGAACAATACAAAATTTTGCAATTAAGTCTAAAATGACCCGTTTATCGGTTATATTTGTAATCAGATAAACAAGTCATTTTGAGCCTAATTGTATGATTTTGTGTTGTTTAGAGGCCCAATTATATTATTTTTGAATTCGATGGTCAAATTGCAATTTGGTGTGCACATATTTTACCCTTATTCCTTTATATTATTTACCTAATTACATTGCACTCAAATTACACTATTACAGTATTTTTTTTTTTGGTAGGATAAAGGGCCGAAGCCCCGGGAAAACTAGCGTAATCTACTAAAAGCGACCTTGTTAGCGTCGTGAGCCAAGAGCGGATTCAACCCCTCAGGAGGTTGAGAGAGAATCGTAGTACCCCACTGACTATTCTGACCCATGTTGGCAAGAAAATCGGCACATTGGTTCCCTTCCCGAAGCACGTGTTTGAGATCGAAGGAGTGGAACGCCTAAATCAAGGCCTTGCAGTCAGAAATGAGGGTGTCCGCTTCAGGAGAATTTCCAAGATCCTTCTCGAGCACATGAATAACGAGTCTGTTTCCGCTTCCAAATCATGGAACCCATTTTGTCTTGCAATACGAAGGCCTTCCCGGATAGCCCAGAGCTCAGCTATGAAGCTATTAGTTGGACCTATCTTGGTGACGAAGCCTGACATCAATCCTCCCAAGTGATCTCGAAATAGCCCTCCAGCACTGGCTAGCCCAGACACAGCTTTTTTGGCACCATCAGAGTTAAGCTTTACGACCCCCAGGCGAGGAGGAAACCACTGCACCCAGTTTTGGCTTGCGTTCAGCGGGCCATTTCGACAAAACAGATTTTGAACCGCCTCTGCTGCCGCCGACCGCGCTTGCTTTATGATGATATCGGCGGAGTCCTGTGATTATTGAAAACAAGGTGGTTTCTGGCCTTCCAAATACTCCAAAGGATGTAGGGGAAGAGAACACACCACGTTAAATTATAAGATCCCATGAAGTTGCTGGCACAGTTCATCTCCAGCCAATGCGTGAGCGGGAGGTGATTCGTTGTGTAGAACTTTGCAGGGGTAGGGATGAGCTTCCAGCAATCCTTCGATGTCTCGCAGTGGCGGAAGAGATGGTCAAGAGATTCTTCGTCTCCGCCGCACCTTGGGCAGGAGCCATCACCAGCTAGATTGCGTCTTGTCCTCTCCAGGTTGACGAGAAGACCATTGTTGACTGCCTTCCACAAGAAGATTTTAATTTTCTCTGCCGTTTTGATCTTCCATATCCAGTCGTTGGGGGCTTGATCATCCACCAAACTTGTAATAAAAGAGAAAGCAGATCTAACGGTGACAAGCCCTGTACCTGAGTGAGGCCAGTGGATTTTGTCTTGGTGATCATTAGCAATGGGAATTGGGATACCTCTAATACGATTAACACAGTCCTCTAGAAGGAGGTTAAGAAGATTAGAAAAATCCCCTTACCAGCAAGTTTTCTTTACCAACGGGAACAACAACGTTAGGAGTGTTGGCCAGACTTACATCACCAACCCAATTATCAAACCGGAATTTAGTGGTAGATCCCGAACCAATTTTCCAACGCAGCCCCCGGGCCAAAATGTCACGGCCCTTGAGGATACTACGCCAGCCCCAAGAGCAATTGTTATTGGCGTTAAGCTCAAGGAAATTATTATCTTTAATGTATTTATCCCGCATCACTTTAACCCAGATCTTATTGGGGTTGGAAAAAGTTTCCCAAGCTAAGTTGAAATCTGACGCTTTACAGAGCTCAAGCCCGCCAGAATCGTGTGGTTTGCAAATCTCCGACCAACTGATTGTGTGTAATTTCCGTGTGCCCCCAAAGGAAATTCCTGAAAACTCTATCGAATTTGACACAAAATTTGATTTCTTAATCTAGACAAATTCAAGAAATGAGGAAGACGAAAATTACTTTTTAATTTTTTTTATTAGAATTAGGAATACCCTAGTACTGTCAAAATGGGCTGAAGCCTGCGTGTTGACCCGCACCCGTCCCGCGATGAGGCGGGTTAGGATCATGGAAAATCAGGTCCGTGAAAATGCGGGCCTAACGGGTGGGTCAAAATTGGCCCGCAACCCACGCGGGCTGCAGACCGGCCCGCGGGCTAAACCTATTACAAAAAATAATAATAATAATAATAATAAAATATATACGTTACACAGCAAGGCAGGATTCTACCTTGTTGTGTAACACACACACATATATATATATATATATGAGATTAATAATTTTAAAATACTAATTTTAAAAATTTTAAACACTTTAAAAAAAGCCCGTGAGTCAGCCCGCAGAGCCCATCAACCCGTGCGGGGCGAGCTAGGGTTGCACGAACCCTAGCCCACGAACCTGACAGGCTAACCCACAAAAGCCCGTGAAAAATTAAGCACGCGATGAAGCGGACCGACCCGCTTTAACAGTACTAGGAATACCCTCTCATTTCTCGTCCCTGCCCACAACGCTATTCGTTTAAATGGAATGATCAACGGGGTATCCCTCATGAGCGACGGATTCTAGTGCAAAATTAGCTAAGGCTTTAGTGTTTTGGGTTTCCCCATCCTTCATGATTCAAAAAATTCGAATTGTCTCCAAGCATAAGATCATACAGATACTTCACCCACCTTGCATAAGATCATAGAGATACTTCACCCACCTTTGACTTTCAAAATATACAATTTATCCTTACTGACTTTAGTCAATAGTTTATGGCCTGTTTAGGGTGGAAAACTTCTCAGTTTACTAGAAAATAGAGAGGAAAAAAAGAACAAAACAAAAAACCACACACAATTTTCTTATTTTATTTTTTTAAACTATTCAATTTATAAGAAATACCATTTCATAATAACACCCTTTTTGACTCATAAAGTGCAGAAACCAAGAGAATTGAAGCTTGGCAAAAATGAAATGCACAAATTCACAACAAAATGGTATGCAGTAAAACCCAAAAAAAAAAAAAAAAAAAAAAAAAGTAAAAGATTTAGTAAACTAATTTAACTTAATGTCTATATGTACAGCAAGTGCGTAAAAAAATTACAACTCACATTTCTAATACTACTACTTGGAAGACTATAGAGACTTGTGGGCTATGTCATAAACAGATATAAGGATTTCTGCCCCTATCAGTATGATTATGAGCCATTCCAGGAAATCTGACTTTCTATTCTGAAGAATTTCTTGAAGAAAACGTATATTATGCTGCAACCAATATATATACATATGAAGTAAATGTCAGCAAAATTCAACACTGAAGATGAATGTGAGTAAATTATGCAGAACTATACCTCGACAAATTTCAACTTGAAATCTAGGCTGGCAAATCTCTGAGTCAGCTCGAATTCATCTCTAAGATATTCCCAGATCTGAGCATATTTAGCATCTTTCCATGCAATGTCCGATCTTAAGAAAATGTTAAAATAAATTATGTTTTGAGTTATCCGTTCGTGAAGACCAAGTATAAATCAAAAGTTAAGGACAACTAGTATTGCACTATTGCCACAATCTAATATATGCTTTTTCCCACCCCACCACTTCTATTCCTCTCTATGTTTCCTCTATTTTGGGTTGAGGTCAATGTTGGATCGGGATTCAGAGAAATTGAAGCATGTGCTCTATTTCAATTAAAAGTCTAAGCTGATAGTTAGTTTGCACATATGCTCAACACGCCCCTTCACGTGTGCGGGCCGATTACTTTTGACGGGCTACAAGAAACACGTGGACTATAGTCTCTTTTTATCGGGTGGCAGAAATTCGAACCCATAACCTTTGGCATGGGGTTAGCTCTAATACCAAATTGAATTATGTTTATATATTATATGCTCAACAAGAGATATACATCATTTCTTCTTAAAGTACCGGTGCTTAAGATTAACTAGTGACAAAAACAATGATTATAGAACCCTTCAAATACTAAGGACCTTGTGGTCCAATGGTACCAATTGCTCCCCTAAGTGGGAGGTGATGGATTCGAGCCTCAGTGGAGGCGTAGTAGCTTGTATGTTTGGGTATCCCCTTCCCTTGTAATAAAATAGAACCCTTCAAATGACAAAATGCAACCATAAAAGGCAAATAAGAATGAAAAAACTATTCAAGCAAAGCAATTTGGATATTTTGTGAGCAAAGTTTACCTTTCAAAAAGTCCAAGTTTAAGAATCACATCAGCAAGATTAGAATTTGCCTTTCCAACCAACTGGAAAAGCTTTTTACGCTCCATTGTAAAAGTGCCAGTTTTTTCCATTCCTCGATTGATATCTGTAAATTCTCCAACCATTCCATCAACCTAAAGGAAAATGAAGTTCAGAAATCAATGGAGCGAAGTACAACCTCCTCAATGCTGAAAATTGAAATACTTAATTACTGGAACATACTTGGCGCACATAGTAATCAAGAGCAATACTTTGACCAAGAACACTGCCAATGGTACGGATGCCATCAATATTCAAATACTGCAACATAATGTAGTCTAGTCCACCTTGCATCCAGGTACTTAAAGTTGGCTGCTCTCTGACCTCATACTCTATGTTCAAAAAAAAACAAACAGAATTGAATAGAAAGCAGGACATACAGACAGGTTTTTCTTGTTACTTCCATCAAATTAAAAAATCACCAAATTACTTGGTGCAACATGCCTGCCATAAAAACATGTATGTTTTTCCCTCATCTACTGATATATTCATGTAACAAAGAGAGCATCGAAGTGCTAGTATTACACAAACATGCAAGTAACAGCACAAGCTGTATGCCTGAATCTACTGAGTACCACACATACAAAAGAAATCCAGTACCCAAAGTTAAGGTTCAACAAAAAGGGGTAGCCCCAGCCAAGTTAGTAAAGATGTTGACTTGGTAACCACAATGTTACAAGTTCAACTCCTAGTGGGAGGAGTCTATTGGCCTTCTTGGCTTGAGCTGGTCAGCTATGGGCAACCTAGGCTGGTTTACCTCCTTGTGGTCTTTTGCCGGTTAGGGTCACAAGGCGAGGTTTACCCAGTGCACACCCTTGGATAATGGCTGCAGGTTTCCCTCATCACTCAAAAAAAAAATAAAAAATCCTTGCTTCTATTGCAATCAACTTCGGGGACAAGAACTGTGCATGCATGGTATTTAACTATTTATACAGGAACTGTACAATCATAAAATTTATGCAACCAGCTAATCAAATTAACTGATCAGTAGAAAGTTTGATCCCCTCAGTTCTTCCATTTCATCTAGTGATTGCTACTTTAGATGGTATACTTCAGCTATGAAATATCCTACCACAACTGCTCACCCAAAAAGCACTGATCATCCAGTGAGTGGTTGAGAAGCTGCAAATAGCCTCTCCGGAGGGTGAAGACATGGATAAAGTTGTGCAAACCCTGTATGATGAGGGAGACTAGCATACTAATTCAACCTTTTAAGGATTTCAGTTGAATGCATGAATCAAGAAATTAAAAGCATTTTATCCAGGAAAGAACCTTTGATATCTTCTTAATACAGTAAGTCATGGATAGGAATTTCTAGAAGAATATCAAAAACCTCTGATGCATCATGTCGATGTCATAGATGGTCAATAAATTTTTTGACAAGGACAAGTGATTTATGAATTGGATTTCTTTACATGTGTGTGTGTGTAGATAAGTAGGATTTCTACGCATATGCACTCACCATCCTTTCTCATCTCAGGCAATAAACCAGAAGAATGTTTTTCAACAATTTTTAGATACCCATCAACTTCATGATCACGGACATTGAACAAGACAATTGAACCATACTGAAAAACCACCATATAACAGCAGTCACTGCCACTTAAACCAGAACCCAAAACCTGTAAAATAAGAAAGTAGCCATTAGAAAGAAAATAATGTATCACAAGAGATGTATGCAGTACAGACCCAATCAGTTGCAAAATTTTGACCTTGTTATAGCACCTATATCTTATACTGTCCCTTGAGGTTTGAAGAATGCAAAGATCAAGATGGTGATGAACTTCCTAAGGCAATCATGGTAAGCACTAAGTGTAGAGTAAAATAAATATTTCTTATAATTAATGATACACCTTCTCTTAAATGTGAACCCAAGACTTTCTAAGAATAAATAAAACTCCACTAAAGTCATTTGTCTCATATAAAATTTACATAGTTGAGGTTTTTAAAATTTGCAATCCTGATTGTTCTGCAATTATGTATGTTTGAAATAAAAGCTTGAAAGCAGATTCTATTGAGCAAATAAGTCATGTCACCCCCACCCCCAACGAAAAAAATAAAGAAAAAAGACACTGAAGGAAATTGCAATATTTTGACAACTGATCTTCTGCAGTGATAATAAATAAACATCTAAGATATTATATGCCAAGAGGGGACAGGTGGAGTAATTGCAAATTGTGATAACTTATGGGCAGTGCTAACTAACAATGAGGGAAAAGAAAGAAAATTTAAAGACAACAAACTCACATTAGGATCTGGTTTAGTATAACCAAATCTTAAAACAACATAATTGGTCATCCGTGATGTTGGGGGAATGAAATTCTCCTTGTTCTGATCCACCAAGCTCCTTAAATCCACACTGTCAATTGAAATCACAAGAACATTACAAAATCCAATCCCAAAACAATGATGGTACGTTAAACAGATAAACTTAAACCTTATCAATATTTTACACTCCTCAAATGTCCTCCAAATTTCATGTCTTAAAATCAAATCAACAGCAACCAGTTCAAAAGGCCGTATGCCTAATGCCTTGAACTAAAAATGCAATTAATAGTCAATCTCCTTTTCAGTTAAGTTTCCCTCCACTTCCCTTGGAGCATATTAGCATCAAACGAAATGATAATAAACAAAATTTTAAACAATACGAACTTTCCCTTCGATAATGAAGACAAACATCGAGTTTGAGGATTCGAAGTATCATCAAATGCAACTTAATTATGTACTTTTTACCTGGTGGAGAAGAAAAAAGCCCTAACAGGAATAGAAGGCAGAGCAGCAGAGACAACAGCACCATCATACTCATCCTCTTTCTCCAAATCCAGCTCATCGGCCTTACTCACTCCTCCATCCCAAGCTTCGGAGCTGGAAATAGCATCGTTCCACTCCACCGTATGCGCCGACGACGAAACTGATGAAATACACTTAGCCAAGCCAAAATTAGGGCTCCGTCCAGTGCGAAGCAACCCGTAGCCGGCGGCTGCCGTGGTCGAAAACTGAGAGTCGCGGCGGAGGACGGGGGTAAAAAGGAGAGCAATAGGCTTAGAGTGTGGCGGCGAAATGGGATGGTGGAGTGGAAGAGCGTGGGATGTGAGGGGGTGCGGTTTGGCGGCGAGAGTGAAGAGAGTACGGAGAAGTCCGGCGTCGACGCCGAGGAGAGCGCGGTGGGCGCCGTGTCCCCACGCCGTCCTCATAGTCACCTTCATCCTCATCGTTGCCGCATTGGCTTGGCGCCTCCACACAAAGGGTTTGTTTGGTTTAGTACTTCAGTTTTACTAAACGAGATGAGATTATTGGGCTAGGGTGCGTGGGTGCATTTTTTGTGTCATGTCTTATTCAGCAAGTTATTCCTTTTTTATTTTAAAATTTTAATAAAATTAAATTGATTCAATAATTATGTCAATCAATAGGGTTGACCCCTCAAGTTGATTTAATAATTATGTCAATCAATAGAGTTGACCCCTCAAGTCACCATGGATGGAGGTTCGAATTTCACTTCAAATATTATTAGAATTAGATAGACTCCCTTATTTGGAGTTGGGCTCCCAACTTTATGGAGTTAGGTTCCCCAAATTTAAGTAGCTAGGATATGAGTGCGATTGATTGAGAGACAATTCATTCAATTCGAATTTACATCATTTAATAACTCTCATTGGTCCTTGAAGGACAAAGATGAGAGCTATGCTTAGAGGTTGTTCTCAAATAGAGATATCGTGTACTTTATCAAACAAGGAGTCCATGCCTAACTTGGCAAATGTGCACATGTTAAATATAATGTCTTATTGTTACTTTAGTTACTAAGTATTAACGATTGATAATAATTATTTTTGTATATTAAATGTTCAAAATTGTATAAAAATTTAAGAAAGACGAGGGAGGAAAATTACATTCTTTTTCTCATAAAAAATTTATTTTACGATTTTTAGATTTGTCTTTAAAAAGAGTTGCTCACGATCTTTGGCCATAATAAAATCAACAAAGAGCTGCAAAATATATATATTACTAAAACAGTTCTCTATCTCTTGCTTCATATGCTTAATAATTGTTAATAATAATGCTGTTCAATTCTACTATCCACATGCCAATAATCAAATTTTGACCTTACTAGTGGCCTGGGATAAAACAGCACGTAAGTAGCTTAAATAATGTTTATCTTTTACTCATCAATAACTTTGTATTAAATGTGACTGACACTTAAATTGAAAAAGAGAAATTACATTAAACGTGATTTATGTAAAGATAAATTTGTATTAGATGTGACTAACGTCAAACATTAAAAAAGGAAGAAGAAGATAAATTTAGGCTGCAATGAAAATGAAAATGTTCAATGGTCATACACTCATACCATAACATGAAATTTGTTAAGGATGTTAATCATACCACCATCCTCTACAGCATCATTTGTTATGTATTCCAATATAAATTTTGATTTACAAGAAAATTAAACCCATAACTATACTGCTACCCGAAATTGTTATTACGGGTGAAGCTCGCCTTATAAATTACAACGAAGTAAACCAGTTTAGGTTGGTGACTGACTTATTCCAATATAAACTTGATACACAACCACTATATATGTTTGATCCACACAATACAATAGAAAAATAATATATGCATGCATTTGAAGTTGCAGGTTGCTAAACCTTAGCTTTCAGCTCCAGATGGAAGTACAGATGAAGTGCATGATGGTTTTAGGGATGTCTAAGTGGGAGGAGTGGTAGTTGATGAGAATCCTGATGATGCCGCAGAAGAATAGAGTGGCACTGAAGAAGTGACCACTCCCTCACCCTGGCTTTGCATTTTCCATTGCCAGTCTGATGAGAATGCTGGAGCAGGTGGTTTTTCAACTCTCATTCCCATTGGTCGCTCCTGCCCACCACACAAATGTTAATCCCAGGATACTTTAAGCTTCTTTGATAGAATTGAACAAAAAGAACAGCAGACCAGGTTAGAATCTGTTAATTGCTAACAGCCTAACATTAGTCATGAAACTTCTCCCCAGCCCCAGGAGGCCAGGTACAAAATGAAGATGAATGTGTTATATATAATATGAAATCCTTGCAGCTATGTTGTGTTTCGTGTAGATTGATCTGATACTTGACAGTATTTTCTTGACAAAATGGGAATTGGTTAGTCTGGTAGCACCTTGAAGACTTCAGTGGTTCTGAGAATTGAATGTACTTTTCCTAAGAAATCTGCAAGTTGTGAATTTTGTTCAAGGAGATAATTACCTGATGAGTGTTTGAAATAATCCCAGGATGCATGCTAGGGATAGTCCATATGGAATACTTAGACCCCATTGCTGGAGCACGAGGCGTGGCAGGAGAGCTACCAACCTGCAAGATAAATAAAAGATGCTAATAAGCATATGAAGTGGAGAAAGAAATGGCATTACAAAGCCAAGAAAGTGATGTTGTTGAAAAGAACAAGTGAATCACCGCGATGTAGGAGCTTTCATGAGAGAATCGCGAAGGATATGCATTGGTAAAGAGTAGATTCACTTGTTTCAGAACAGGCGTTTGGCAAACTCCAAAATTGAACTCCAACTTTCTGGTGTTATCATCAGGTCCCTTTAGACCACCCAGAGGTGCAGAAATCCAATGGTTCGGGTCAAGACCATCGCCACCACCTGCATCCCTGTGTTGGTTACATTTGATAGATTCTTTGTCATAAGTCCTGAACCAGAAAATAAAAAATGCAGATTGTATTGGATGACAACCTTGCAGCTTGCTTACCAACTATCCCAAACTATTGGAATCTTCACAAGTAAAGAAGTTATTGAAAAGGTGTTGTTACCTATCCCCTAGGAATTGGCCTATCTGGGCATCCCATCGGCCACACTTGTGAAGAGTTACTCCTCTGTATCTCGAGGTTCTCTTGTAAAAACCAGTACTCTGGCGACGAAGCGTCTGAACAAATTCTTCTTTTGTCAAGTTCTTCGTCTGCAGATCAATACAGCCAATCTCAATGTGCATTCAAGAATGAATCTCATAATACCATACTCACTATCAACAATTCTGTAACCTGTTTCATATCTTCTTCATAATCGCCTATTTGAAAATTGATGTCAGCATCAACTCCCCGGAACTTAAGTGCTGCTCGATCATATGCCCTGAATTATCCAAGTAAAAGAAGATGACAGACACAAGATTTACCTCAGAGAGAAACTTTGGGGCAACCCAACTAATATACGTTGGCCATATTATTAACATGATAATTACAAGATTACAAGTTCAACTTTCAATATGGGTGGCCTATTGAGCTTTTTGATATGAGCTTGTCAGTTATGTACAACTTAAATTAATTACCTTATTGTGGTATTTTGCCAGTTAAAGTTACAAGGCGAAATTTAACTAATCAACATCTTAGATAGTAACTGTGGATTTTCTTTCTCACTCAACAAGAGAAACTAATCGGATAAGTAGTGAAAGTGGGGACTTATCATTTTACCTGGCTGCAAAATGAGCTGTATCAAATCCTCCTGCAAACCAAATCTTCAAGTCAACAACTAATAAAAAACTTGAAGCCATTGGGAGTATGCTGTCTCCTTTTAGTGAAAAATAAAGTCAAATTTGATAATTTTACAGTTTTTACTTACCCAGATAAATTTGTTTCCCACAATCCCTGAAAACAATACAAAAAACCAGCCTGATTAATAACCAAGAAGTCAAGAAACACAACGTTAACTTCATCCATTCTTTTCTAGTTACTAGTTATAAACACAGCTAAAAAAAAAGGCTGGGGAATAAAATTATTGGTAAATTTACATAATAAAAATAAATATACAACTATATCATCTTATAACTATTATGACAAAAATATATATAAAAGATAATACACATAATTAATACATTAAGTATATAAATATTGTAAACTTACTTATATGATCGGATCAGGAGAGATCAATTTTATAAATATTGTAAACTTAAAATTTTTCACTAATTAGGCAACTTAGGGTTTATCAAATTTTCACTAATTACGGTTCATCAATGGAAACACGAGATCAAGCTCAGGGTTCATCAATGGAAACACGGGGTCAAGTGAAACCTCTGACCTCCCATTTGGGAGAGCCACAGTTTTGAGAAAGTTATTTTGCTTGTAATTAACTATTAGCTAATAGCTAATTTTCTTTCAAAAAAAAAAGTTAATAGCTAATTTATTAAATATCTTTTTGCAATCAACTAATGCTATCAACTAGTCAAATCCACTAACATAATCAGCTAACAACTATTTACCAAACACTCTTATAGTCATTGATAAACTAAGGAGGAAAGGACTGTTAAACTAAGGAGGAAAGGACTGTGTTAGTTTTATAAATAGTACAAATTTAAAAGTTTATAATAATTATAAAATTGACCCAATTTTTATTTTTACTAAAAAAATATAATCATTGATCAACATGATGAACAACTGAGATTCATTCTCACTTTTTATAAAAGAAGATTGTTCTAAAATTTTTATGTTTTGAGAAAAAAACTTTATTAGTAGTTAATTGGAGTGGTTATCATAGCAGTGCTCCATTATATTTATGAGAAAATTGTAATTTATGTTATTTACAAATATACCAATTATAAATTATTAGTAGTGTAAAGGTTGCCTATCAATTTTCAAAACGTATAGGAAGAAAATATTGTTGTTGACGAAAGGAGAACAAACGAAGAAAGAAAAATGAAGAAAAAAGTATGGTTTTCAAACAAGAAAAATTAGCGGTAATTCATTTACATTACTAATAATTAAGGAATGATATTGATAATTGACATATTTATGAATTGTGAGATGTATAAATTACAATTTTTTCAATAAATAATAGGTAAAATTTTACCGGGTATAAAGTACCTAACGAGCCTAGAATTTTCCTTTTTCAGTAATATAGAGAAAAGCAGTTCCAGCAAATTTACCAAACAGTACAAGGTACAGTATGAGTTGAACCATGCGCTTTACTAACTGTACTTCAAATTTACTGCATGAGAAATTGTCTGCTACGCAGATTTATTTTTACCCGTATTTATGCATGTGTTCGTGTACAAAACTACATATATACCATCATATACGTACGTACAAATAGCACATATATAGTTGTATACTCCATTACTCCGTACGTATGTGCAGGTAGTATATACTGTGTATAATAAATGTATGTACTGACCAGATATGCGATTCCCATCTTCCAGTACGCCGGTAAAACGTCACGCCGCGATACTGGGAGCTCCGGGAACGGGGCCCACGGCGGGGTTTCCTTACGGCCGGCTGCGGCATCCGCGGTGAGTTGCAACCGGACTCCAGCACGGACAGGTTCAACCAGCTCTGCGCTAGCGGCGGCGGCGGCGGCTCCACGGTCGAAGGAAACGACAGTCCGGCCACGGGAACAAGCTGATCCGTAACCGCCGAGTGGTCCCCATTGCAGTCCTCTTCATCTTCGATCGCCTGATCGGCATCGCTCTTCAGAATGGAGAAATTAAGTGTGCAGAGAGAATTGCAGCCGCCATCAGCGAGAGTGTGAGACGAGCTGTTAGACTCATCGGAGGATGAGGCGGTGACGGAAGCTCCGGAATCGCCGCCGACGATTGCGGAGGCGGCGGTTGTTTCGGCATCGTCACAAGCGGAGTCCGACCCCGGCACAGCTTCCAGATTCAGATCCAACATCTCTTTTCTTTCTCGCTCGCTCTCTCTCCTCTCTCTCTCTATATATATAGTTGCGTGTGCGAGCAAATAATGGTTGTTCGATCGTTTCTGGAGATTTCTCTGTAACCGAACAGTGGTTGCAGATATTTTTTCTTTCACAGCTCTTCTTCTTATGAAAAGAGAGAAAAAATGATCAGAGAATATATGCATACACGAGTTTCCATAGAAAGAGCCGAGCCTGACCGGAGAGCACCGATCTTTGATACTGAAAATGGGAGGTAAAAAGAAATTCCGGTGAGAAGACGATTAGTTTGTAGTTTCCCGTCGAACAGACAAAGCGAGGAAGGCGAGAAGAAAAAGTGGGGTTGGAGTGTAATCAAAATGCTAAGCTAGTAACATAACAGAGGGGAGGGGAGTGATTTATTTATGTAAATATCTTATAGCGTAATGTTATTCTCCAGACATATTCTTCTTGAGTAATAAGGGGAAATAATTCGGTGTGAAAATAATGATGAGGAATAAAGTAGAAATGATTTATGAATTTATACATTAGGAATGAGAATCAAAATCATAGTTAATGATTGGTTGATAATTTTTTAAAACATAATTATGAGATTTTTTTTGTTGTTGAAAATAAAGAAGTTAATTTATTAATTATATATTAAAACATTTACAATAAAGATCGATGGAATGGTCAAACATTCCTTATAGTCAGACATAGAAACAACTGCCCGCATGGAAAAAATGTTGAAAAGAATGACCAGGGATCGAGTCTCACCAGCAGCCGTGCCTTTATGGTTTCGATCCAACTATGATGATATTCACAACTATGAGATTTCATTAACTTCCGATCCAATTAAAAATTTCATTCCATATTTAAAAATGTATCATTCCACCTTATTGCTCTAAATGTATCAATTGCTTTTTTTTTTTTTTTTTTTTTTTTTTTTTTTTTGTGTGTGTGTGATTGTATTTTACATTTATTTCTATTATAAAATCATTCCAATTCCACTTACTGACAAACATACAAAATAATTTTGTCATTTTTGTTTCACACCCTCAACATTTATTTATTTTGTGTGTTTTCCTTCCAAATTTTGTGACTATTCAAGAACGTGATAAACTAGCTGGTTGACTATTAAATGAAAACGACAAAAATGTCTGTTTTTTTTTTTTTCCTTTTTGTTGCAATGACAGGGCAAAACTAGCTACTTGTCTAGTGAGGTATTGTCAGGACCATTATATTAAAAATAAAAATATTAAACCAATCACAATTTAACACTTTAACTCATCATCTAATTTAAAATAATTTTATAAGCTTTATTTGATTAGTATCCGTAGAATATAGGGTTCAAATATATCTCAAGATTTATCTCTAAGTAAGAGCGGTGAGGAGTTCAAATCATATCAATGTTTTTTTTTTTTTTTCAATATCAAGCAATAACAAGAACGGCTAAGCTTGTCCAGTTGCAATCTCACAAAGGCTTTCTTGTAATCCACCATGTGTAACCGTGTAACCACCTTTCCCGCCTCTTTCCTTTCCTTTATAAACGTTGTAACCTCCATGCTTTGCAGTTTCAGTTTTTCCAGTAATGAAACAGTACCATCTTCTCTCCCTTTCACTCCTTATTCGCTGATATGGTATCAGAGCGGGGACGGAGCAGCTATGCCGCCGTTGTGACCGGCGCAGAAGACTCCGGCCTGAGAACACGACCATCAACTCCGGTCATTCACTCACCGAATCACGCCACGCCAACAAGCAACTTCCAGAGATCGCTAACTCCGCAGCGGAACAACCGGTTGGAGGATGTGGACAACCCTCTGTTTTTGAGCAGTAATGAAAACATCAATGCAGTGCTAGTCAGCCCCCCTCTCGCAGGCAGCTCCAACTATGGAACTTGGAGTATCTCCATGCAAGTTGCACTGGAGGTAAAGAACAAATGGAGCCTCATAGAAGGCACTACGATCGCGCCGGACATCTCACACACGCAGTATTCAGCTTGGAGGAGGTGTAACCTAATGATATGCGCATGGATCTACAAATCCGTTCATCCTTCGATCACGCAAAGCGTTATGCACATTCAGAATGCAAATGAAGTATGGAACGATCTAAGGAAGCGGTTCTCCCAGAGAGATCCACATCGGATCTCATCCTTGTAGATGGAGATTAACAATTTGAAGCAGGAAAACTTGTCTGTAAACGATTATTACACTCGTTGCCGGATCCTATGGGAGCAGATGAATGAGCTTAGACCACTGCCTATATGCCGATGCACTCCGCAATGCTCCTGCAAAGCTTTTGACGAGATCAGAAAGGAGAAGGAAGTCGATCAAATCATCTTATTTTTGCAGGGATTAAGCGAGGAATATAACTCTCTGAAGTCCGGAGTTCTAGTGTTAGATCCTCTGCCGGACTTACACAAAGTGTTTGTCATGGCCGAAAAGTTTGAAAGGCAACTCAAGATTGAGAGTATGAATCTGAAACACTTTGAGATAAATCATGCTAATCTTGTGCAAACTAATCCTACAGACAATCAAGAGGTTGTAGCTGCCATCGGATACAACAACAATAGAAGGAACAACAATTTTGGAACTGGGAACAAGGCTGCCACATGCACCTATTGTGGGAAAACGGGGCACACCATCGAGAAATGCTATAAAAAGCATGGTTACCCTCCCGGTTGGGTGCCGGGATTCAAGACGAAAGGCAAGCAACAAGCCATGGCAGCAGTCTCCACATCCAATAGTGAGACTAATACTAATGAACAAATGCAGAAGCTCATCTCTCTCCTACAACTCCAGATGGGGCAGAACCAATCCACTGCAGCTGTTACTCTCACTAAGCCACAAGCTGATGAAGGCAAGTCTATCATTCATACTACTGTTAATTCTGTTTATCTGCAACATTCATCTTGGATACTGGATTCCGGAGCCACTAATCACATAGTGTGCTCCTTGAATTTCTTCGATTCTTATCATCATGTGGAAGGAACAAAAGTGAATTTACCTGATGGAAAGCAAATAGAAGTCACACATGTGGGGCATATAAAGTTGAGGGACAATCTGAATCTGGAAAATGTTTTATACATTCCCTCCTTCAACTTTAACATCATTTCTATTAGCCAATTACTTCAAGAATCATCTTATGAGTTGATATTTAATTCTCATCAGTGTCTCCTTCGAAGCAACCATGGGAAGCTGACTGGTTTGGCTAAGGAAGCAAATGGTTTATACCTGCTGAATGAAACACCTGCTCAGAGTCAGTTTGCTATGTCATGTAGTAGTGAAGTATGGCACCAAAGATTCGGCCACTTCACTTTCAATAAGATGCATTTACTTACTAACATTCATGTTTCTCATTCCAAGAAAGTAGCATGTGATAATTGTCACTTTGCAAAGCATAAGAAATCTCCTTTCCCTGTTAGCAGTACATTCTCTACATCTTGTTTTGAATTAATTCATGTTGACATTTGGGGCCCCTTTGTAGTACAATCCTTGAAAGGAGAAAGATATTTCTTGACAATTATTGACGACTATTCACGATACACATGGGTGCATTTGATGAGAAATAAGTCGGAGACACAAGGCATAATCAAGGGCTTTCGAAAAATGGTTCAAACACAGTTTGATCTCCCAATCAAGACTATCCGGAGTGACAATGGGTTAGAATTTAACATGAAGGACTTCTTTGCCGAATATGGGATAATCCACCAAAGGACTTGTGTCAATACCCCACAACAAAATGCGGTTGTAGAACGTAAACACCAACACATATTGAACGTAGCAAGGGCACTGAGATTTCAGGCCAACCTACCTTTGGAGTTTTGGGGACAATGTGTCTTACATGCTGTCTATCTCATCGACCGCCTCCCATCACCGGTTATTGAGTGGTCATGTCCTTACAAACGGTTGTATGATAAACAACCCGATCTCAACATCATCAGAGTTTTCGGATGTCTATGCTATGCATCTACCTCATCCATATCAAGGCACAAGATGGCCCCTAGAAGCAGAAAATGCATCCTTGTTGGGATGCCCTCCAATATCAAGGGGTACCTTTTATGTGATCTGCATGACAACTCTATTTTTATCTCACGTGATGTAGCTTTCTATGAAGATCAATTCCCCTATGTAGGGAAAGAGCAGCCTCATGATGCAACAGTAGATCCCTCAGATGTCCCATCTCTGCCAGTGATCCCCACAAATAGCCATGAAAGGTTCAACTTTCAACAACTTGAAACTGATGAAGAAAGAGTCACTGACAAGCCTCAGCTTTCTAACAATCCAATGGTGAATGGAGAGACTCCCCAATTCAGTCAAGCCAGTCTAGATGAACCAGTGGACAATGATATTAATGATCCGTTGGACAGTAGAGAGCGTGAACTCCAATATGATAATGGTCCTACCACTGTCTCATCTCCAACAGATGCAAACAGCTCCACCCAGGATCATTTTACTGCCAATAATGGTCTATCGGTCTCTCCCACAAGAATAAGAAAATCCACCAGACAACGACATATGCCAAGCCATTTGCAAGACTACTATTGTGAATCTGCTTCTGTGGTAAACTCTACACCCCATCTCCTATCAAAAGTTGTCTCATATGAACATCTTGAACCAGCACACAAAGCCCTTTCAATGGCTGTCACAGCCATAGGCGAACCAAAGTCTTATGCTCAAGCTGCCAAACACGAGTGCTGGAAAGAAGCCATGGAGACTGAAATAGAGGCTCTACAGAAGAATCAGACATGGGAATTGGTGGATCTTCCTCCCGGCAAACATCCCATAGGTTGTAAATGGGTGTATAAGACCAAATTGAAAGCGGATGGAACCATTGAACGGTACAAAGCACGATTGGTTGCTAAAGGTTACAACCAGCAGCTTGGGATAGATTACTTAGACACTTTCTCTCCAGTTGCTAGAATCACGACCATCCGCACCTTCCTTGCAACTGCCATCTCCAAGTCTTGGCACATTCACCAGATGGACATCAATAATGCATTTCTTCACGGGGATCTAAATGAAGAAGTGTATATGGAATTGCCTCCTGGGTTCCAGAATGAAAAGCCACATCAAGTTTGTCGGCTCCTAAGATCGTTATATGGCCTCAAGCAGGCGAGCAGACAATGGAACGCAAAACTGAGTATGGCTCTATACAGCATCGGATTCAGGCAGTCAAAATCTGACCCCTCCCTGTTCATCAAAGGCAGTGGTGTTGAATTTGTTGCTATCCTAGTCTATGTAGACGACATCTTGGTTGCAAGTGCAAACCTGGACTCAATAAAAGAGCTGAAACTATTCCTGGACAACACCTTTCGAATTAAGGACTTGGGCACTCTTGGTTACTTTCTGGGAATTGAAGCAAAGACAACTGAAAAAGGGTTGAATCTATGTCAGCGT